GTGTTGATGATACTTACATTGGGTTATTGTCTCAAATACACTTAATTGAGATTTAAAGCTAGAAATTAGTTGCGCATCCACTTTTTCTTCTACATTCTGGAAATTACATTTTACAAATTTGCTGAATTTCAAAAATGAGAGACATAAATAATTATATTCACTGTACACTGTCGAATTACAAGCCATATACATGCTAACAGTAATTACACACAACGCGCGGCGCGGTGATGATTTCCCGTAATTCTCCTCAGTTTTTCGTATTTTATAACTTTGAACATAACCTCTTTTCAGAAAGCACAACATATAAATAACCCGTCATATTCGGCATATTCAGTAATGATTTTCCCACACAGCAAATATCACTGATTCTATACACATGCAGACCAATACACATAATCATCCAGATGCGATCTTGCTATTCAACCAACTTTCTTCTCAGAGATAAAAACTACAGACCCGGATCACACAGCCTCACAAAACTATGCAACCAATAATGCGTAGCTTACTTCAGTGTTTCCTCCACAGATGGACGTTCACAACGATCCTAGTGACCAAACGTGGAATGACTGTTTGCGCCCTAAAAACTACCTAGTCTGCAAGTTGACATCTTATAGGTTTTTTTGACGTTTTATAGGTTCTTTACATGATACCCGTGCGGATTCTGATATGACAAAAAAGCTTTTACAAAAAAAGTACGGCTCGGAATGCCTTCAACATTTTATCAGCGCATACTTCTATGACATCTATTTACAAGTGTCTATCAAAATTCAATAAATAATTCTGGGTTTTGCATTTTATATGTCACTTAGTATACATGGGAGAGGTAAAACGATCTCTGTCAGGACGAATAAAAGAGCATAAATCTAACACGGAACGGGGAGAAACGAATAAATCGGGGACAGCAGATCACGTTTGAAGAAAGCACCACAGAATACTTTGGGACCTTCCTAAGATCTTACACAACCAAACACCGGCATCACAGAAAATTCAAGGCAGCGGCCTCCATAATAATGAATGAAAATGTTTACGGTAATCCAAGTGTGGAAATTAGAACCACTATGGCAGCCTACTGTAAGAAACATCAAACAATTGCAACTCGACTATCCGGAATGAGAGACTCGTCTCAACCAACCACCGGCCACGTCATCAAACGGTATAAATAGTCAAAAAACGAGCATGTTCGCCATTTCACCTGATGACGGTTGAAATTCACATCAATTGAAACTTGTGAATCAAAAAACCTTGTAGACAATTGCAGTCCGAGAAACATTCACGTTGTTATCAGATTCCAAACAAGAACTACACATTTTTTTATTCCCGCTATTAGTTCGTAGTATCGTTGATTATTATACTAGCATGTCAATATTCCTGACTTTATTTCTGTTTCCTTGTGGCAGACAGCTTATTGTTCATACCGTATGCAAAACAAAGGTCAAAATACAGTCCACCGAATAAATTGTTTCAATAAGTTTTCAAATAAGAAAACACTGTTTCCTCCTCAAAAACAAGAACAATCAAAACTAAGACGCGCCGGTAGAAGCAGCATTAGGGCGTCTTTACATGTGCAAAGCGAGAAGCAAAAAGAAGTAGAACAAACTCCTTCTTTTAAAGTTGCAACTCCCGAAGACTGAAACTTTGTACCGCTCGGCTTTGTTTCTGTTTTTATTTACCCATTCTGGTTCGGTGACAAGTTTATTACGCCGGAAAAATCGGGGGAAATCGGGTCAAACGCTGAAACGCTGGATGAACGTTGTTAGGAAATAGCAAGGAGATGAGTCTGGATATTTTGCGCTGTTGATGCATTTTGCTACTAGCGCCAAAGCAGTCCAAGGCAGTAACATTCTTTATCTGCAAATAATTCGGGTCAGATTACCTTCTGTTTCATCAAAACCACCATACAGACAAGACGTACCTATTTATTGGTTAATTCCTCCAACAACCCAAAAGGGCTAAAAAATAAACATGTGTGTGAGTGTGTGTCTATTTAGACAGAACGCTGAGTTTCATCTAACATATAGGGTTTCCCAACAAAAGGAAAATAATTTATGAGCACACTGGATGAGACATCAAAAACCTGTTTTCCTTGAAATAACCTCTAGATGTAATTTTAGCCCCTATATCGTCGAAAAGCATTTTTTTAGCTTTACCATTTCTGTAATAAAAAATGAGGCTCTTATTTGAAAAAGTCCTTGAAATAACCTTTAAAGTAAATGTCAACGTCAAATCCACGGTTACCACTAGAAATCATGAATTAAAAGTTTTTTCTAGCACCCTTACATTCCGAGATATTTTTGTGTGTCCATACATTTGGGACAACTTGTATGTATTGTCTGGCAAACTTATCCACGTTATAAATGCTATACGTACGCTCTAGTTTTTCTTCTTTTTTTTGGAGTTTTAAAATGCACATTTCGGTATTCATGGGAATATTTTAGGCAAACTTCAAAGCTCTCGCAAAACGTACCCATAAAGTATTACAACGAACCTGGTACAAAAAGCTCAAAGCTCAACGAAATGCGCCCGACTATTTCTAGTCCTAGCACAGAGTCGAACTATCTACGAGCCGCTTCCCACTTCTGTTGGCCCAACTATTGATATCTTAGTTTTTTTTCTTATCAAACACAAATAATAAAAATGTAGCAGGGTGTTATAGGTTTAAAATATTAACAATGAATATTTTGATAATATATAGTAGAAAACACCAACTTTATCGCTCCCTAATCAAATTTGCAGCATAAAAATAACACATGTTGCAATTATAGCATATCAACCTATTTTCATTTCAATGCAAAATAAGTCTATAATGAATAGGTGGCTGTGAAAAATAAAATCCATGACAATTGTTTTAATTAATCACAGCTGTCAGAATACGTTTAAAATAGTTTTGGGTAGTTAAGGTTTTCAAAATGGGTAGAGGAAAGGTTATTACTGAGAAAATTCGGTTACTGATAATTAAATTTTTTAATTCTGGGAAACCAAACTCAGAAATTGCAACTTTGTTAGACTTATCGCGGTACAGTGTGAGAAATATTGTTAGAAGATATAACGTAACCGGTTCAGTTAATATTAAGCCACGATATGAGAAAAAAAATAATATAAATGCCGACCGAAGAATAATCGTGAAAAACAGGCGTGCCAATTATTTACAATTAAGTGCTGTGTGGAGTGACGCTATTGGAAGGAGAATTTCGAGGTCCACAACTCATAGAGAGGCCCACAAACTGGGATTTAGCACTTGCAAGGTAACTTTTCTTATAAAAAAGTGAAGTAAAAACCCTAAAGTTGCACAACTTGTTTATAAGCCAAAGAAAAGTCACTATTAACTCCACTGCAAAAGAAATATCGGCTTAGATGGGCTAAAGAACGTAGACAATGGACAGCTCAACAATGGTGTGCAATACAATGGAGTGATGAGGCCAGATTCGAAGTTTGTGTTGGTGACAGTCGCAGTAGAGTTATTCGGAAAAAAATGAAGCATTCCATGTTGACTGACTGAAGAAAAAAGTGGAATTTCCAGCATCCATTGTGGTCTGGGGCAGTATGTCCTCAAAAGGAGTAGGAAAACTTCATTTTATTGATGGAAATGTGGATTCAAACAAATATTTGGCAATTTTAGAAGAATCGCTTTTACCAGTGATGGAAGAATGTGCGACATCCGGCCAAGATTTTGTGTTCCCATACCTCAAAAAAGGCTATAAAATGGATGGAAGAAAATAATGTATCACTTTTAAAATGGGTTTCTAGCAGTCCAGATCTGTCACCTATTGAAACTTTGTGGCACGAGATAAAAAAGGTTCTACGATAACATCCTGCTCGTACAATCACCGGACTGAGACAAAAGCTTCAAGAAATATGGGATTGTTTTACACCAAAATTTTGCCAAAACTTGGTTAACACTATGCCCCAAAGAATTTCAGCCGTAATAAAAAATAAACGTGATGTTACCCAATGGTAATCTTTCAATTGTTGCTTTGTTAATTTCGCGCACTTATTCGCATATTGTTTATTTGTTCAGATGTTCTATTAGTTATAGATCTAAGTCAAATATGTATTTTTTACGACTAGAGTGTATCTAAAATGTTTTTTAGAAAATAAATTGCTTTTGAAGTAAATAGTTTTGTCATGTTTAGTTTATAAAGGCATATTTTTGTACAAATCTTGAAGTGGGCCAACTGAAGTGGGAAGGGGCTCGTACATTGTCGAGAATGCGGTCGCGATTTTCTTCTGTTTGGCAGACCTCACACAGTTTATTCAATTGTGTGTTGAATGCCATTTTGAGTCTAAATATACGTGGCACTTCTATTGTGACACCCTGCATAGCTTAATAGGTTATGTAGAAGTCACATAAAACCACCCAATTTATAGTCGACTACAATTTGTACAGTTTAATTTGATGAATATTTTTTTTAGACTATTTAAGCCTATGAAACTCTTTAAGCACTGATAAGTCAAGAAATGAATGTAAACGCAATTTTATTTTTTTTCAACATACGTTTGAGACCAAACAGTCCAATAACAAAAAATTTTAGATCGCCCTCAAAGTTCATGCTTTGATATCTTTCGAGCTTTTGATGATTCTTGAGCGTAGTCGAAAATTAAACATTTTTAAAAAATCTCAAAGTTTCGACTTTCCCAACTTCCTGATTACTTTGGAAGAAAACATCTTTTCAGGGGGTTCAAAAATATTCATATATCTCAAGTTTTCGATTTACTTGATTTCATTTTAATCTCTACACCACTGGAGAGGAGGTATTGCAATCACGAAAAATTTCAAAGAAGAGATATGGTATATGAATATAACATAACATGTACGAGTACGTCATGAAAACGGAAACCAAAAAGATTTTAAGCTCCACTTAACAAAAATTTTGTGCCGCCCATGTTCAACAGTGCGCGTTGTTACGTAGCATGTTTCACATTGGAGAGGTGATATATGACAGGCAGTCACCCATGACAGATTCTGGGGATCAACCACTGTTACATCACTCCTTTACGGTAATGTGTGTATAAAAGCCGCATTCATATTTAATAATGTAGTCCAGTGGAAATAAAATGCGTGACACAGAGTGTAACGTTCTAAAACTTATCAGCTAAATTCCCGACGCACAAATGCTGGTTAGAGCGACAACGTTGTCCGTAGAACTTAAAGGTGTACTTAGGTATACTGTACCTGCAAGGGGACGGGTGATGCTAGATCAATATTGGAAGTCCAGGCTTCAATAGGGTGCTACGGTAAAATTGTACAAAGATCTGAGTTAGCTTATGTTAATTAAGGCATAGATGTGGGAGCAGTAGTCGTATACCTTTCCAATGTGAAACATGCTACGTAACGACGTGCACTGTTAAACATGGGCAAACGATAGATTGAGGCACCGATCATCTAATGCCGAAGTAAAAGTTGAGAAAGACATGTTAGTTAGTGGCTTATCTAGGCCCGAATCACAAGGTTCGTATGAAATCCTAACAGTTTGAATTTTTTGGAATCGATGTGAATACGATCCTGTGTAACTGCTCCATTTCTTGTTTGCAGCCTGCAACACGACCTACTACGGCGCCGTGGGGGTCACGTACGAAATGGAAGTGAAGCGCCCTACGGAAAGTCAAATGCCGTTCTTGTGCTACCTCAACTTTACCACGGGCGGAGGAGCACTTGGAGAACTTGTACAGGTAATATTGACTCTCTGGGATTATATTGCTACGAGTTACCACCCTGTAACGCGTTACACGCACTAGCTTTTTATACAGTAGTTTTCAAACAGGTCCCCCTACTTATTTTTTGATCGGGTCAAGTAAGCAAGGTGCAACTCGGGGTCCTGAAATTGATGCAGCAACACTATACTTTAATGTAAAAGTGACTAGTGATTTGGAACGTCAACAGATCGAATAATTTGATTCCGAGGGCGGAATCAGGATCAGATTCCGAGGAATCTGAATCGTGAACGAATTGTAGAAAGCGATTGCTTCGCCGGAATCGGAGTGTTGAACGGATCGCAGGATTTGATCCCAAGGCAAGAATCGGAACCCTAAATGGAATCAGAATTGTGAACGGATCAAATGATTCAATTTCTAGGCCAGAATCGGAATCGTGAACTAATCGAAGGAATCGATTGAGACGTTGCATTCGGAATTTCGAAAGGATCGAATCCATTCCGATTCCGGAATCAGAATCGGAAACAGATGGACGGAATGGATTTCCAGGCCGGAATCTGAATCGTGACCGATCGAAATCAAACTGATCGAAGAATTGGAATTCGAGGCCAGAATCGGAACCGTAAACGTATCGAAAGAATCGATTCTGATGCCGGAATTGGAATCGTGAACGGATCGAAGAAACCGATTCCGATGACGAAATCGGAATCGTGATTCGAGCGAATGAATCGATTGCGACGACGAAATCAGAATCGTGAACAGACATCGACAAACGGATAGAAATAAACAATTCCGATGCGGAATCATAATTGTAAACGGATCAAGGATCAGATTCCGAGGAATCTGAATCGTGAGCGAATTGTAGAAAGCGAATGCTTCGCCGGAATCGGAGTGTTGAACGGATGGCAGGATTTGATCCCAAGGCAAGAATCGGAACCCTAAATGGAATCAGAATTGTGAACGGATCGAATGATTCAATTTCTAGGCCAAAATCGGAATCGTGAACTAATCAAAAGAATCGATTCGGACTCTAGAATCCGAATCGTGCACGAATTGAATTATTCGATTCAGTGGCCGGAATTAGAATCGTGAACGGATCGAAGGAATCGATTGAGACGTTGCATTCGGAATTTCGAAATGATCGAATCCATTCCGATGCCGGAATCAGAATCGTAAACAGATGGACGGAATGGATTTCCAGGCCGGAATCTGAATCGAAATCAAACTGATTGAAGAATTGGAATTCGAGGCCAGAATCGGAACCGTAAACGTATCGAAGGAATCGATTCAGACGGCTGAATCACAATGGCGAGCGGACCAAAAGAATCGATTCTGATGAAGGAATTGGAATCGTGAGAGGATCGGAGACTTCGACTCCGGGGCTGGAATCAGAATCGTGTACGTATCGATGGAATCGATTCCGACGCCGCAATTAGAATCGTAAACTATCAAAGGATTGGATTCCGATACCGAAATAGGAATCGTGAACGGATCGAAGAAATCGATTCCGATGACGAAATCGGAATCGTGAATGGAGCGAATGAATCGATTGCGACGACGAAATCAGAATCGCGAACAGACATCGACAAACGGACCGAAATAAACAATTCCGATGCCGAATCATAATTGTAAACGGATCAAGGATCAGATTCCGAGGAATCTGAATCGTGAACGAATTATAGAAAGCGATTGCTTCGCCGGAATCGGAGTGTTGAACGGATCGCAGGATTTGATCCCAAGGCAAGAATCGTAAACAGATCGACGGATTTGATTCCCAGGCCTGAGTTTGAATCGTGACCGATCGAAATCAAAAGAATTAGGATTCGAGGCCAGAATCGAAACCGTAAACGTATCGAAGGAATCGATTCAGACGGCTGAATCACAATCGCGAGCGGACCGAAAGGATAGATTCTGATGCCGGAATTGTAATCGTAAGGGGATCGGAGACTTCGATTCCGGGGCTGGAATCAGAATCGTGAACGTATCAAATTAGTCGACTCCTATGGCAGAATCGGAATCCTGAACGCATCGTAAGAATCGATTCCGAGCCCAAAATCGAGGCCGGAACCGGAACAATGAAATCGAATCACCAAAAGGAACAGTTTAAGTCAGGTCTTCTATGTTTATAGCGCTTAAGCAATACGTACCAGCGAAATACATACTAAAAGAAATCCCCATATTTTCAGATAAATGAGAGAGAATGAGAGAGGGAGTAGAAAAAAGCGGATGCACGTTGCCGGGAGTTTATTAAAAAAGTTCAATCGGTGGAGAGACTGCCACTGTATTTTTTATGATTTATTATGAATGAAAACCAACCGAATAATGATCCGCTGGATAATAAATCAAACTGACGTTTCGGTTGGAAAATAATCCAAGGCTGTCTGGATAATATGAGGTAGCAGCGGTAACCCAATTGGAGGATGGTGCTGTTGCTTCTACTTCAGATAATTGGATTTTTGAATGAATTATAATCATCTGCATTACTTCAATTTATTTTTTGAACTAAAGAAACAGCGAAGGCAAAGTCTGAATACTGGAGTACCGTAATTGTTGTGTAAGCGAAAATTGATTGTCGGTATGGGCAATTTTTATTTTCGGTGAGAAAAAAAAATAAAGTGAATTGTTATGAGTTCGGTTTCATACTTATTCTTTGGAGAATGTATCAATACACTTCATTACAATGGTCGGGCTCAAATTGTGATAAAATACTGAAAAATTTGAATATGAATGAAAGTCATTATGTATAAAATTAAATGTATTATTAAATGTTGGAGGAGTAGAATTATATCGCTCAAAACCCTTTTTAGTAGCACTAATATTCTCATAACAATTATTAGGCACTCATTATTGCTATGATTATTTCCGAGGCCTAGACTTTCAGCATATTTTTATATTCGATTTTTTGCAGTAACACCAACAACGTTTTCTAACAAATATTTTGAAATAAAGTACTATATCATCAAAAACTTCTTATTTCAAACTGCCTTGTCATACTTGGCTTTTATTCTAGACTAAAATGTTGTCCATTAGAGGGTATTTCTCATTTGGAAAATACAACGGATCTATTCCATATCATTGCTCCAAATCCAATTTGCATAATTCAAATTATTCCTGGATCTGCAATTCTCGTAAGCACGAGGAAGCAAAGTTACGCTGACGATTATTTTCTAGCTAAATTGAGCCACACTCCAAGCTGGAAACAATGCTGCCTGTCGGCATACTATCGGGCAATGTCTTCCAGCAAATTCCGTTTCTCGATTTAGCCTGGCATCGCTTCTATCCAATTTGAATTTCCCATTTACTAGAGATGGGTCGATATAGGTATATCAGGATCAGATATTTTGAGAAAACCCAACAAGTCCATGCTCGATGCTACTCAGAGGAGGATTGTTATGACATATGTAAAGTTCGTGTCCATCAGTGCACGCATCATGAGACCAACCATTACACGATGAGGATTTTCAATCTTCATCTGGCGGGCTGTTAGAAAATGGTTCAAGACAAATCAAGCAAAAACATTCTTCTCCATCAGTTTCATTATCTGAACAGGGCTAGCGTTTTTAAATTTTTTTAGATTTCTTCATTTTTTTTCTGCATCAAAAACGTTTCCCTGTTTCTCTTTTTCTTGTTCCAGCATTTATTTTTCTCTTTCTCTAATTCGTCGTTTACTGGAGTGTCAGTGAGTATTGTACTCCCTCCCTCGTTTACGACGGGAAATTCGATTCATTTTTCTTGCCGATGCCTTTGGATGAGGTCTTAAACTTTCTGGAAGTACCATATTTCCCGTATGCAGCCTCACTAAACTACTACAGCAGGGATCATCAAAACTAGTTTGATTAGCTGTTTTGCTCTCTCGTGTATTATCTATTGCTTCCTGCGAGTTAATATTTATCAGACTTACAGTTTCATCTTCGTTCAAGATGGTTGGATTTGGCCTATCAGTGATAGAGCTCGCAAGAAAGTCATCATCCGTGAAAATATCTCTGTTGTAAGGAAACACACCCGACACCCGAAATCCAGACTGTATATCTTTGGGAGTAAATGCGAGGGGGTATGCAATAGAGACCACTGAAGGTATGTCGTATATAGTCATGGTCTTCCGGGATTATTTAAAATCTAAGCATCGCAGGAAGTATTTACATATGTCTTAAAAGGGCCGAAAACGGCGCGGTCAAGAGGTTGAAGTTTATGTGAACAGCGAGGGTAAAAAGAGAGCATGACAATACCATTTGCTTTGGCAAAATTCGGTCCTTCTATACTCAGATGTGATCCATGGTTATCTAGTAAAAGCAAGCACGGTCTTTCTACAGTACTTTTCACATGAAGGTGAAAAAATCTAAGAAACTCCAAGAAATGTGACTCTTTCATCAAACCTGATGAGTTTGCAGAAACTTGTGAGCCAGGAGGAGCCGAATTTAAAAAATGTGGTTTGAAATGTACCCGTGGAAAAATGAAAAAAGGAGGTATGGAATTTCCAATAGCTGATACTGCACTTACTAAAGTAACAAGAGTTCCTGTTTCTGATGAAACTATCGATCCAACCTGTTTGAATCCTTTTCTGGCAACAACGCGGTCGGGTCTTTGGACAGTTGTAATCCCAATTTCGTCCATATTCCAGATTTCGTGAGGCTCAAATTTATGTTTTTCCATAACTGAAGCTAAATTATCAAAAAATGCGTTGACTTTCGTTTTATTGAAACTACTGGCTCTTGCTAAACTAGTTGCTTCCGGTTTGCGAATAGACAGTACAGGATGACGTTTTAGAAACGCACTAAACCAGTCATGACCAGCTATTTTATGGAGCTACCAATTTTCCGGCATTTTCAAGGAATTATCATTAGCAAATTCGTATGCCAGTCCACGTACTTCCTTGGGTGATAATCCAAAATAAATATCAGATGCTTTGAGTGCATATTCCGCTAGATGATTTTCAAGTTCAGGCTCAAATACTAAATGATTTTTGATGTAGCCAACTGAAATTGACGGCGCAACAACTCGATCATCAAGTCAGACTCTGGAATTTTCTTACAGTATCTTGCTAAAGTACGGTAATTTACATTGAAGTCAGCTGCCGCTTTTCTTATTGAGGATCGTAATCTCACTAATCTAGCAGCTCTTAAAAGTACGTCAGGCGGCGCTTTGCCGTTCTCAGTCTTCCTTTTGAAATTTCGAACCATGCTTATGTAACCTGAAAATATCAAAAAATACATTATATACATATACCTACGTAGAATGATGTGCAAAGCTAATCGTCTAGTGTGGGGGCTGGTTGTCCCATGTGACAAGAGGCCTCCGCTAATTTGAGACAACCTGCCCCACTAGATAATTAATTTTTAAGGTTAGATAGCGTCACTAAATTAACAAATTCAAAGTCAATACTTACGTTAAGTCGTATTCGGCTTATTGAAGATCAACATAAATCCAACAGATCTTTTTATTATCAAATGTAGTCTTGAAAACACAAATTATGAGGCAAACGAAAAATTTACTCAGGTTAGGCGATTTGTTTATTTTTGTGTGTGCGACCTTAATCTACCAACGACAACTTTCGTACTGAATAGAAGTGTTCTGCGCGGATACAACTACATCTTGCGGAGCTGCTGAAATTTAACAATTGTGACAACCAACCCATGTGACAACCAGCCCCGGTCTCCCCTACTTTTCCCAAAATGACCTTCTCACTCTGTACAATGCCTAGATAAGACCTAACCTCGTTTACTGCTGACATATTTGGGATGCTGCCGCTCCGGCTACATTATCCATGCTCCAAGGCCCCCCTCAAATTGATGCACTTCTTTTTTATTTGTTCTCCCTCCTTCATTCCTTCCTTCTTCCCTTCTTTTTCCCTGACTTTGTTTGGTATCTGGGCAACCAGACCTGACAGACCTTCCGACTTACAAGACTTCAACCAAGAGCAAAGGTCCTACGGACCGCTCTGACAGACAATGACGAACGAACAGATTATCCATGCTCGATGTTGTTCAGAAGAGGACTGTCCGCACCGACGGGTCGTTCGCGGTCTAGTTCTCTTCTGCCAGTGCGCCAACAGGCTTTGGTCCTCAGAGATCTGCTTCATGATGCCGCCTTTACATGAGGAAGATTTTTCCGGTTCTACTACCGTTAGGAAGTTAAAAAATCGGATGAACAAACTTTCTCTAAGCCCCTCATAGCAGCTGCGGTGCCCTGGAATTTAGGATTCTGCCTGCGAGGCTGCTTCGGTGTAAAAAAACTATGAAAGACCCAAAAATTATTGAGATCATCCTCCCCAAAATTATATCCCACTTCTGACATACTTTTTTCTTTACAGCTATCATTTGAGTCGTTCGCCGTGGGCTCGTTTGAGTCTTTCACTTCGGGCGGGTGTCCCGAGGGGCACATTTCGATCCGAGAATCGAACCGTCCGGCAACCGGAGGCAAGTGGTGCGGCAGTGCCTGGGGTTACACTGTTTACTACAGCGAGACGTCAAATGTCAATTTGACACTGTTCTTGGACAAATTGCCGCAACAGGTAAGTGCGATAATGTTTTATGCACACTGAGAAAAAAAATAATTTAGCCAATCAGAATTTTGATTAGGTCAATTAAGAAAATGTAATCAACTATGTGACAGCTAACAGGTTCAATTTAGTATGAGCTCCGCTTTCTAAAACAGTTTATGGAACTAGTTTAATTAAGCCAAAATGCAATCGCTCAACTGAATTTATCAAACCGCTTACGTCCATTGAGTAAACCAATTTATCTAAAATCAATAAACTATAAAAATGTGTTGACCTACTCCAAATAAAGCAATTTAATTATATTTATTTAACTTGTTTAATTAGTTTGGGTAAAAGTATTTGCCTAGTCTGAATGAATTACTTTATATAGATTTAAAAGTACCTATATTTAGATAATATGTGGAATTTAAAAATAAAAAAATGAATTTAGTCGCATAATGCAATACCTATGCCATGACAAATCTAAGACATCAAAAAATTTGGAAAAAGTGATAGTGATAGTTGATATATCCGAATCAAAATAAATACTTCCGAATTTTGTAACCCTAAGAAAATCCGATATTTTTTATCTCTAAATGCTTCATCATTAAAATATGTCACAATGTATAATGAATAGGCCGTTGAAAGAACGGTTCTCTTGATGGCCACCAAAACGCTCGCAGGGTGAAAAATTGTACTGTAAGTGTTCTCTTATCGTTGGAAAGAGCGATTCTATACATGTAAGGAGGGATATAAAAGCTCCCCAATAAAGTCCACGATGGGGCATTTGAAGCCATAAAGGGATAAATAATGGTGCTAACTGTCGTTACATCGCGAAATTAAACACTTTTAATGGTAATGGAGCCTGCAAACAATCTCTACAAATGGCTAAAGCTTAAAAGTGCTATGGGCTATGTTTCAATACATATTAGATGTTTTACTTCCTACGTCTTATATATATATATATATATATATATATATATATATATATATATAACTTGAGACGTGGTCATTGTCGTCTAGACCAGTTAGGTGAAAAATTAAAGCTTCCGCCTTTTGTTGGGTACTTCGACAAAATTTAAGCAAAGAGGACTCTTTATACTTTTTTAATTCTCTCTAGCTTTCAATGGACTTTGCCATCATCATCAGGAGCTGCAATTACAATGATAACAGTAGCAACAAAAGTGTAAAATGAATTTAAATTGACTCAACTTACAGTAGTATGTGAGGATGTTGCTAATTGTTGTTTACGTATAGGATGAGGGAAACGTCCAGTAACATGGTGAGAGGTGGATAGATGGTACAATGGTCAAAATTATATAAAATATGACAAGAACAAGTTAAAAACAGATTAAAAATTATTTAGAAACGTTAAAGCATTACATCGTGAAGCCACTTGATGATTGCACCATTTTGTGCATAACTTGTTCTTGTCATATTTTATATAATTTTGACCATTGTACCATCTATCCAGCTCTCACCATGTTACTGGACGTTTCCCTCATCCTATACGTAAACAACAATTAGCAACATCCTCACATATTACTCTCCTGATGATGATGGCAAAGTCCATTGAAAGCTAGAGAGAATTAAAAAAGTATAAAGAGTCCTCTTTGCTTAAATTTTGTCGAAGTACCCAACAAAAGGCGGAAGCTTTAATTTTTCACCTATATATATATATATATATATATAATGAGCTCAAAATAATTTAGCTATCGTTGGTGTTGGGTGTACGGCACGCTGCTGCATCGGAGTGGAGGCCACTGTCGACTGTGCAGTGGGTAACAAACTCCAACTAGTCTGCGAAGGTGTCGTCACACACGCTACAGGAGAAATATTTATATATTTTAACAATATTTGGATATACATAGGTGTACATACCACTTTAGCATTCTGCGGTGCTCTTGTTTTATGATCCTTAACTGTACCACCCATTTCGTCTAACCTTTAATTTGTGTCACTCCATCTACGATGGTTCTCTAAATACATCATCAAGTAGATTGACTCAGTACTTATGACGCATTGCTATATAACAGACACGGACTGAGGAACCGACACAAATGAGAAACACGGACTTGTTTAATGTAAATCTTTAAGCAACAGCAAACTTGTGAATCGAATTGGGATCGCAAGTTTAATTTTTCCATCATTTAGGTAGTCGTAGATTCTGAAAACTGATTCAGTGGCGACGGAAATAAAATCGCTGAAACGTAGTATTACAACGTTAAGAAGCTGCTGATCTCAGTGATACTATGCACCTGTTAGACACACACATATTTTCGCTACATCTACCCTTGAATCAGAAATATAATGGATGTGCTTTATATAGTTTGATATGCAGATGTCGAAGATTCATCAAACCTAACTGAACCTACCTAATCACGATTCAATTTTGCATTTTGAAACGATTTGACTCATCTCTTTTCTTTGGAACCTCTAACGAAGGCATAAGAAGTACTCGTATAGAGTCATTCTACTTGACGACATTTTTTTATTAGCTTTCTTCAGGCAGAATAATCAATGCTCTTACTGAATGCTCTAGAGAATCTTGATCACATACTATCTGCATTACTGGATGAGTCCTAGTACATATAACTGATGGCCAAGCTTTACCAACAAAGTAATTAATTTCAGCTTATCCGAATTCAAATCACCCAAACCAAAGCCTCGGTTCTCTCGGGGCTTTATATAATATGAAACATTTGACATGACTTTATCATCATTGGCATTATTTTCAAATACAACCAATTTTGAATAATTTATATCCCACAGCCAATAATTTCTATCAAATAAACAATGGAAATATTATCCTTTTCATCAACATTGTTTCATATTTTGCGACGACAAAGCGGACATAATTTTATCGCTAGTCGATTTTTGCCAGTAGATTTCTTTGAATATCGACACTAAAATGAAATATGTTTGCAATTCCAGCTCCAATGTCTCCATGAAATGAGTTTTGCAAACTTTGTTTCAGCAGAATGGCCCGTCGTTAATTGTAAAAGTTATACTCGTATCCGCCGTTATAATCGGAAAGGGATGATCGTATATTGCAAAGCTATGCTGCTATTTGAAGCTTATTTTACTTGTTAGGGAAATTGAATGCCTTATTCAGCATTGCAAGATATAAAAAATTTCGTCAAGGTCAAACATGAACAGAACCTCTGAAATGCCAAAAAACAAAGTTTGACCGAATTTTTTTTGTATTTGGCCTTTTTCTTCCCCGCCACTGGATCGATTTTCAAAAACGATAAGACTTTTTCGTCCTTGGCATAGTGGTAACCTTGTGTGGAAATTTCATCAACGTCCGACCGGTACTTCATAAGTTATATACTGGCCAAGGATTAACGCACAGACAGTCCGACCAAAATGAGTGATGGTTTTTCGTGACCTACATGTGAAATGACATCCAAAAAACATTATCTCTCATTTTTAAAACGTTTTGCGATTACAATACTTCCTTGCCAGTAGGCGTGGAAGGTAAAGCAATATGAAGCACAATTTCGTTATCGAATGACTTTAATGAAGTTAATTTTCTGTTTCAGGGATCGGAGAACAAGTTCGAATTCAAGCTATCGTACAAATTCCTGAAATTAAGTGATGCTCGCATACGATACGGGAATGCGACTCAACGTTCCTACAGGTAAAAAGTTTCAGCTAACTAGATTAATTTGCAGTGCGCACAGGATCGTTTCAGATAGACATACGTAGGATAGACCGAGGCCAACGCCGTCGTATAATTGGAACTCTCTGACAGGTGGCCAGAAGTGGGATCGACGCGTAAGTTCTGGACCGTTCGAGTCACTATTGCGTATACTTTATCCGAAGTCACTTGAAACACTGTGAAATACCGGGTGCGTTTTATATACCTATATTTAACACGCTCTGTTGCTGCAAAGATCGCCAAATTTCGCAGCAAATATCCCCCGTATAAGATCAAAGGCAGTTTCACCGGTCCACGTGGAGTAAAGCACGCCTATGCGTGGACATAGCCAATGAGAAAGCGTGTATTTCAGAGCTCCGAACAAGTGCAGGTGGCTACTGAAAATTGAAACAGTTTAGCCAGTGCCGTGTAGCGGTGAATAAACGTGTTTTCTTTAGTCTGTCCGTGTTTTTTCATAGATTTTATTAGTTTGTGTGTTTTTGACTTTTGAATACTCAGTTTACTTGTTGATTTAATTGTTGTGTTGATTGTTCTTGTGTGTCCTAAATATGGCTCTTTGGAGACCTTGGGAAAATGCTCCAAGCCACGAGGAGATGGTTGATGAACCTGTGCAGGCAGAATTCTTTCATAAAGATTTAGAGGAACAGACCCAAAGAGTAATCCTAAATATGTATGATTGTCTGAAAAACGAAAATCCAGATTCCTCGCAAAATCAAATTTTAAACAGAATTTGTATCCTGACAAAAATCAGTCGGTCTACCATTTATCGGGTTATAAAAAGGGGAGATGTAGTCAACCATTCCTTCCGCAGAAAGCGCATAGGGCAAAAATTAAAAAGAATAGACGTGGGTTTTCAGGAAGATATTCGTCGTATAATATACGGATTTTATAAAGAAAATTTGGTGCCCACGTTGGAAATGATACGGGACAAATTAAAAGATTATCCTGAAGATTTTTATAATTACAAATGCTTAGACTCACTGCACTGTATTGTAAAACTGTGTGGTTTTCAATACAAAAAATTAGATAAAAGAATGGTGATTATGGAGTCGTCTCGAATCGTTGAATTGCGCCAAGAATTTTTGCACAAAGTTAAAATCTATAGAGAGCAGAAAAGAAATCTGATTTACCTGGATGAAACGTGGTATGATACCCATGATGTTGTGCAGTACGGCTGGGTTGACGACAGCAACAAGTGCATTTTAAATGCACCATGCAACCGTGGAAAACGAATCATTATTCTCCATGCTGGCAGTGAAAATGGATTTATACCTAATGCCTTGCTGTTATCTGCCAAAAATATCAAAGAACCATGTGCCGACTATCATGAGGACATGACTTCCGACTTATTTGAAAAGTGGATAGAGCAGCAGTTAATACCAAACATTTCCCCAAATTCAGTGATTATTATGGACAATGCGCCATACCATTCCCGACAGAAAAACAAAATTCCGAATACAGGCACAAAAAAACAAGACATTATTGATTTTATGAAGGATAAGAGAATGGAAATACCACAAAAATCAACCAAAGTCATACTATTGGATCTTATTAAAAGACAAAAATTTGAAAAAGAGTATGTTGTTGACGATTGAGTTGGTCTGGGCTGCTTTAAAAAAAAAGTAAGAAAACATAATCAGACCCCTCAATTAAGTGAATCGCTATTGGCCACAATAAGAGATGCAGTATCTCATATTGCTGCCACAGACCTATGGAAGCAGTGTTCTAGGCATATTATTGAAAAAGAAAATGAATATTGTGTTTTGCCTCCTGTAAATCCCGTTGTAATTCCTCTACAAGATGACGTAATGTAAGTCTTTATATACCTTTTTATATACCTACCTGCTATGTAAATATTTGCCTATGTCAAACGTTGGAATTCTGTAATTTTTCCATTTCTTAACTTTCAGTCAACATAAATTAAACTCCCAATATAAGTATTTTTTATCCCAAATCAAAAAAATAGGAAGATAGTAAAATCCATTTATTGTGATATAAAAACATTATTATTATCGTTCTAAATAAATGACCGCACGCCTATGATACGTCATGAAATTACAAAGGACGCGCCGACCAAAGGTTTTTATGCTATTTCAAGTGACTTCAGATAAAGTATACCTTTCTCATACGAGTATCTGGAGATTAACTTGCTGCCACTTAGATCATTTCCAATGAAGTTCGTAACAGCCTGGAAAACGTGGAATGTTTTTCGACTCGTTGATAGAGACATAAATATCCGACCAGATGGCGGAACGACTTAGTCACAGCCTAGTCTACAGGCAAAGTGGAATCAGTGGACAGCGAACGCGGAATTTGATTTGATTTGATTGAAGGAAAGGTTGGAAAGAAAATAGAGCGCATGACCCATTTACATTGTTGCCAAAGACAAGGATGAAAACAGCTAATGGCAATCTCATATTCGTAGTTCTAAGATCCTTAGCTTATCTTGAGTACGGCGCTGTATATTTGCAATTAATCCAGCAGCAAATTAGAGTACTGAGGTGAAAGCGCTGTTCAATTCGCAATCGACACAATGAGATACGAGCAAATAGAAACAGATGAAATGGGTGGACTTCTCGTTACTACAGCTCGCACATTCGCATGGTGTGTTTTAGTGGTGAAAACTTTGATGCTGACTAAGCTTGATGTTAAACTCAAGCCTTACCCAATTAATACTAAGCTAATTAATTGATCTATGTAGTTTATTCGAATGTTTGTGACTGTGGCTACGCGTCCTTTAGTTAAACTTAGCAACAGTTGACATAGTGCAACGTATTTCGGACTTAACTAAAATTGTTGGTTCCGTGATTTAACAAGGACGCCTCCTTTACGGTATTACACAAGATACTCTCTGGTGACGGCAGAGAAAATCCCGTACTGATATTTTGAAGGGCATGCTCTGGGATACCGTGGAGTCCGGCTATGCTAGTGAAATGCTATGGCGAATTTGATATAAGGAGTGTTCATATGCAATATGACCAAAAAGAAGAAAAATGAAAGCGAAAGCGAAATTCTAGAACCAAATATTAAAATTAGCGTAAGTGAAAAGAGTAGCAAAGAAACTATTGTCAAGGAGAATTATTATCTGAAACAGCTTTTAGAAGAAAAGGAAAGAATTATATATCAATTGGTAATTGAAAACCGTAGGCTACAGGAAGCATATGACTTGATTTCTGCCAACATAGTAGAGAAGGAATCCGTTGTATCTACTTTGACTATTGTAAGTGATCAACTAGAATAACTTGAGAAAAGAACGTCAGACAATATATCATACTCACAAATTTTGAAGCAAAATACTCCTAAAATCAATAGCAACAACAAGAATAACAATGACATCAAATCCATATTAGTTACTCCCGAAAGGACCCAACATTAGAATGACACCAGAAAAGACCTAACTAGCAACATTAATCTCACAAGTATTGGAGTCAAGGTAGAGAAAAGTAAATAATTATAAAAACGGCGGCGGCGAAATTCCAGTTGAGCAATGTTATTACCAGAAACTGAAAAATGAACTAGAAACTAAGTTAAAGGAAAAATACAATATATCAGGAGCAAGAGAAATGAGACCGAAAATTAAAATCATAGGCTACAAAACTGAAAAAAACCTTCAGAAGCAGAAATTAAAGAAGAAATCATATCCCAGAATACATTCATTAATGAAAACGAAATCGAAATCACTTTTGTACTACACATACCATTCCGAAATTCTTATACCATATTCGCTGAAGTTTCTGGAGAGCTATATAGGGACATACTTATCAACAAGAAATCAAGAATACTACTAGGTTGGCAAAACTTATTTATCTATGACAATAACCAGATATCGCAGTGTAGGAAATGCTTGAAGTTCGGTCATACAGACAAAATATGTAGGGGCGCGGAAATGTGCATTAAATGTGGACAAGCACATAGAAGTGAAATTTGTACTGTAAACATTTTAAAATGTTCGAACTGTATGAACTATAACGTTAAGTATAATAAGCATAATGATGTTGGATACATCGCCCACAGACAAAAAATGCCCGCCGTATTTATATATTGAAAAATAGTATTCATCCTGAATAATGTTTTGAGCGTTTAGTCCTTTTTACGTTTTTCTAGCTACATACCGTTTGCAAAATTTTACATGGATAGTTACGTAAATAATTTTCAAGTTAATCAAATCAATACAAATATTACTCAAGACACAAGTGCACTTAATAAATGGTTAGAATATTCTAATTTCAATGTTAGTTTATATCACATGAATATACGAAGCCTAAACCCAAATTTTGACTGTTTTAACATCTTTCTGACTACAATTAAACACAAATTTGATATAATATTAACAGAAATTTGGAAAATTAATGATGTATCTTTGTTCTATTTGGATCGTTATGATACGCTTTACAATAATGGTACGTACAATCAGAATGATGGGGTGGTAGTATATGTAAGAAATGATATCAAATACAGATGTGACTTTGTTAAATTTATCACGATATCACAGTGTTGGATTTGATATTGAGAATTAATAACAAACGTGTAAAAGTCACATCTGTCTATAGACCACCATTATCAAATCCTTATACATTTGTAGAAAATCTTGACAAATTTTTGTTAGATAACAAAAATGCCATACAGTCACACCACATCATAATAGGAGACATGAATATTAATATACTGCAAGATACCAAATTAGTAAATAAATACCTCACTCTAATGCAGAGCAACGGACTCATATCACATATAAATTTACCAACAAGAGTAGTCAATAATAGTTCTAGTTCTTGCATTGTTGAAAACCATATTACCGATCATTTACCAACTGTGATACTTATATCATCACCAGAAAAAAATAATAGTAGATCCACCTCCAATAATGAAACAGTGAAATTTAGGTGTTTTGTCGATAATAAAAAAGTACTTGCAAATATCAAATTAGAATCGTGGACAGCAGTGTACTGTGCAACAAATGTTAATGATGCTGCAAACACACTCATTGAACGCATTAAACATTTAGTTGAATGTAGTACTAACCGAGTTAAAATCAAACATTTTGACAGAAGCAGGAATCCCTGGATAACTAAAGGTTTGATAAAGTCTGCAAACAAAAAAGAGGAACTATACAAAATAATGCAAGCATCACCAGGTGCAGATATCTCCCGTAAATATAATCAGTATAAAAATATTTTTATCAATCTGGTTAGAGAAACACGCAAAACACCAATTTTATCTAAAAAAATCACAAGATGCCAAATCTGATCCAAGAAAACTGTGGTCGGCTGTCGATCACTTAACTAACAAAGACGTTCAAGAGAAGCCAAATATTGATGAGATTAGGAATCGTGATGGAACAATATTAACAGATAAACGTCAAATATATCCGATCCATTTATAAGTTTTTTCAGTAATGTTGGAGAAAATTAAGTAGCCAGTATTAAAAAAAATGTTTTGAACGACATGTTCCCAAAAACCCAACCTCCCAATTCATTCTTTTTAGAAAGCGTTAGTCCGATTGAAGTACAAGAAGCTATACTATCACTTAAAAACAAACAAAGTGCTGGTATAGATGGTATCAAAGCTGAGCATTTAAAAATCTTAGCCGAACCACTTTCTTACGTCATTAACAGTTATTACTCCTATTTAAAAAAGCGGTGACATAATGGAAACATCAAATTATAGAGCCATATCAGTACCATCGAATATAGCCAAAATTTTCGAAAAATTACTACAAGAAAGAATATTACAATTTTTGGACAAAAACAAAGTTATATGTTCTGATCAATATGGATTTAGAAAAAAGAAAATCTACTACAGATGCAATTTTGGCTGCAATGGATGAAATTAACACTGTCAACAAAAAAATACCTACTATTGGTATCTTTGTTGATCTAAAAAATGCCTTTGATACGGTTGACCATGTCGAGCTTCTGAAAGTTATGGAAAGATTGGGATTTAGGGGAACGTCACAAGTCCTTTTAAAAAATTACCTTTCAAGTCGGGCACAGACTGTCAAAATCACTAACACTTACAGTAAAAAAATGTACATCAAGTATGGTGTGCCTCAAGGAACAGTACTAGGCCCACTATTATTTAGTCTCTACTTAAATGACTTATTCAAAATTAGCAGTTCTAGAAAAAACAAAATTTATTGCATTTACATCCTATTCAAAATGTTTACCTACCTTAGAACAAATTTCCGTTAATTATCATGGCCAAAAGACCAAAATCGATAGAGTTAACACTTTGAAATATCTTGGAATATTTATGAACTCACATCTAAGGTGGGATAACCATATTAAATATGTTCTCAAAAAAATTAGAAATGTTGCCTATAAACTCAAAATGCTTTCTAACATTCTTACAGAAGGTTATCTGCGAATCCTGTACCATGCCTTAGTTGAAACCCATATAATATACGGCATCACAGCCTGGGGTGCGGCCTGCAGGACATACATATATTTCTGACCTAAATATAGCACAAAAAACTGTTTTGAAAGCCATTTTCCATAAGCCAAGATTATATCCGACGAACAACTTATATCAGGAAACAGGAATACTTGATACAAGACAACTTTATTTCTTACATGCCACCACCTTATACCATAAGTATTGTAATGAAAAAAAATCCTATAAACACGAGCATAACACACGATTTCGAATCGGCTCATCTAATATTCAAAGACCACACAAAACATTATTCAAAAAATCATTTAAGTTCTTACCAGTTAAATTATAGAATTTAGTACCAAATGAAATAAAAATACTTAATTTAAGAAAAAAATTTAGACGAAAATTGAAAGACTGGGTTTGTACTATGCAGCGTATGACTATACATAATTATACAGGGTGACTTCGAAGTTGAGTCATTTATTTTAACAGTAGATCTGATCAAAAGAAATGTTTTTTCCTTTACCATTTTTCTGGTAAAATTAAAGTAACAAAGTTATAGCCCTTTGGAAGTTTGAGTGCCGCCCTGTCTCAATAATATCATGTGCTCGTGTTTGGCAACAACGGATATAATCCGCCTTATCGGTTCATCGCATCGGAAACAAAAAAGCGAAGGAATTTGGAACGATGTTTTTACAATTATGTTATTCAGTTCAGTTATACATACAGTCAGTGTCAGTCGCGTGTGAATAGTGTCTGTTGCGTGGCTCAAACGAAATAAAAAATGGCACATGTTTATGCGAATCGGTTTCCCAATCGAGTGCAACCAACCCCTCGTGCCTTTGTTAATGTAGTACAACGGGCTTGTGAATCAGGTGACTTAAGACCTCACAGGGGACCTCACGATCAAATACAGGTCCGCACTGAAATACTTGTCGGGAGGATACTTTATAAAACAAGGTAAAAAATTTTTTTTAATTTTTTTTTATTTTTACACACATATTTTGGTTTATCTTCCTTCTACAATCATTATCTGAAAATTAATGACTCAACTTCAAAGTCACCCTGTATAGAAAACTAAAACTACAAAATTCCAATTATATTAATACTTTTTAGAATTAACAATAATTGTTATACACATATGATTGATTGTTAGTTATTAAAATATAATCCACACACAGGCGATGCCTTCTGTGGTTTTTTCATATTTGTTTGCTCATTTTTTGTATTTTGGCGAATAAATATTATTATTATTATTATTATTATATCTAGGGAAAAAATCCTTGCGGTATTAAGTAGTGTGAAATAGGATAACGTGACGATATACGTCACCATACCGCGGCATCGTTCAATGTACAGATGCCATCGTAAGCTAGACATATGCTGAAGGATGCTCACGGTATTGCCGAGATGCTCTTTTCTGCCCTTCCTTGATTCTATATTTTACAACTGTTCTGTTTCAGGGGCAAACTGAGCACCGGCACATACTGCGACCGCCTTCTAGAAGGTTGCAGCAGGCGGACATGCCGGATTCAATCCCCAAACTATCCTGGTGTCTACCCCCGAAATGTCACGTGCACTTATAGAGTGAGAGAACGCAACGTGCCACCTGGCAAACACGCTCTCATAGCTGTCAGACAGGCTAACTACAGGTACAAGGAGCGGGGCCAGGCAAGGTTCGATAACAGCGATAGAGTGCTTAGGTAAGTTGTTAGTATGTGATCTCCTTCATTAAGGAAAAAATGTGTGCGCAGGTGGGTGGTCTCCCTTATTAGTATAATTTTGAAATCGCACAAATTTATATCTTTGTGGTGGATAAAGATATTGATTTAAAATTTTGCTCATGTGGTATTAACATCATAACTTATGCAAACAAAGGTTGTCGTCGCTCGAACTGCCTAGATCAATCGCGTAACAACAGATATTTAACCCTCTACAGAAAACAAATAAAGATTGCCTTTTTAGTTAAAGAAGGAGAATTCTTGTGAAATCATTCTTTTGGAGAAAAAACGGTTTGAATGGCCAAAGTAGAGTACATATAAAGACTCTTTAAATTCGTTGTACTTCAAAAATACTTTACTGAAGTTTGATATTGATGATTGTACGTTAGAAGCAGAGTTGATAGTTTTTTAAATATCGATTTCTTTCTGTCTTTGCATTCTGCTCTAGAGATACTACCATTATTATTTGGATCACTTTGTACTAGTAATTGTACGCCTATCATATGTCCTTTTTAGGGTTGCCGATTTTCGGAGAAATCCCCAAATTGCTGGAAATCTTAAATTGAATGGGGATTTATTGGGAATTGGCATTAAATCATGGGAAATGCGCTGAGTTTGACATCTCGTCGTTAAATAATATCTATCGATAGTTTCAAAGAGGGAAGCTCATGGATAACCTTGAAGCTGAATGTTACTGAGGTGGAGTATTTTGCCTTTAAAACGGTGCAGGATACTTTACATACCTACTTGTTTCCGAGCATAAAAATTATAATGTCGCGATGGTCGAGCGAGAATTTCTTGTTCTTAATAATTTAAAGACAAAACATCGCAACCGATTGATTACAGATGCTGTAGTATTTCTAATGGCAACAAGAGAAGGGATTAAAATTCTGGACGGAAGTGTAAAGTTCAATCCATCAAGCAAAATTCATAAAACAAATACAAGTGATTTGAACAATAAAAAATAAGCATGATTTAAATAGTTTAAAATTAGTTATTTATTTATTTACGGTTTTCCATTACATACGAGAAGCATTACGTTTATGTGACAGATTACAATAGCTTTATATAGGGTTATCCTATAGGGACGCAGGAAAGTAAACGTCAATTTGACATAGACGCCATCTTTGTTTTCTGTCACCGACATGTCATTTTGTTAGTTGAATGTTTACCATTGATCGCTATGGAGTCGTATTCGATTGAAGACCGCATTAAAGTTATTCAAGAGCACTACAAAAATGGTGCATAAATAAAAAACACGTTTCGCGCGCTTCGTGAACATTTCGGTCGCAACAACCGCCCAAACGAAACAACCATCGGTTGTCTGGTGCGTAAATTCGAGGCAACAGATTCTGTGGCAAATCTGCCAGGCTCTGGCCGGCCAAGGAGCGTTCGCACACCGGAAAATATTGCTGTTGTGAAGGAGAGTGTGAGAGACGATCCGAAACAATCAACAACGCGTCGATCCCAAGAATTGGGCATTTCGAGAATCAGTTTGCTCCGCATTCTCCACAAGGATTTGAATGTACACGCCTACAAGATACAATTGGCGCAAGGGCTGCGTCGGGCCGACCATTTTTCGCGCCGAACGTTCTCAGATTGGCTCCTTGAACACCGCCAAATTGATGCCAATTTTTCATCAAAAATCATGTTCAGCGACGAAGCGCATTTCACTTTGAATGGGACGGTAAACAAGCAAAACTGCCGCATCTGGGCGAACGAAAATCCCCGTGAGTATCAAGAGCAGCCGATGCATCCTCAAAAAGTGACTGTGTGGTGTGCATTGTGGTCAAAAGGCATCATCGGACCTTACTTTTTCGAAAATGCGGCCGGGGACGCCGTTACCGTCAATTCTGAGCGATATCACGTGATGATAGAGGACTATTTTTTGCCGCAACTTGAAGGAATGGATATGGACGATGTTTATTTCCAACAAGACGGTGCAACATGCCACACAACCAACGTCAATATCGATCGATTGCAGTCCTCCTTCGGTGATCGCGTGATTTCGCGCAGAGGAAATGTGCCATGGCCACCAAGATCGTGCGATTTGACTCCCTTGGACTTCTTTTTATGGGGATATTTGAAAAGCAAAGTCTACGTCAACAAACCAGCCACCCTCCAAGAACTCAAAAACAACATCATTGCCGAGATAAATGCCATAGAACCGACCATGTTGCAAAATGTCATTGAAAATTTCGACCATCGCGTGGACGTCTGTAAATCCAGTCGTGGTGAACATTTGAGCGATATTATGTTTCATATATAAATGGTATAAATGAACCTTCAAAATAAAGTACCCAACTTGATTTGAATATCAATATTTCTTGTTTTAATATGCGTTTACTTTCCTGCGTCCGTTTTGGACAACCCCATATATAGAGAAGAACTAGAGATTCATGTGATAGCCAACATAATTATATTTAAAGCCTAATAGGCACGTACTATACACGATCAAATAAATTCGCGAATAAATTGCCAGAAAAACTGATGAGTTTCGCGAAGGCAACATCTAGCGAAATTACATGATCAGATTTATTCCAGTCAAGCATACCAACACAAATTGTAACTTCCTATGGTACCAACATCAGGGGAAAAATACCAAAACAACTGATTATATATACATATTGATTGTTTCTGTTGAAATATTGAATCCTAAATTAAAACCAATGTGCCAAGCCAAACTGTAAGTATGATAATTTTAATCTCAAATCAGAAAACGAGAGCGCGTCAAATAATGAAGGTATCTAGAAAAACAAAACCAAAAGTAACTAGAATTCCCCAAAAAAATAGCAATTAATTAGAACAAGCTCTAATCTGGCAATTATTGTTATGATGAAATTGACAGCAATTTTTATGTTTACACGGTCCAATTTCTTCAAGGTTAAAAAATTGTTCAATTTACTGAATCGTGTCAAGCGATCATTTTTGTATATACTTTTTGATGCTCTCAATATTGCTGCTGGAAGTATCTAGGAATATTGTAGCTTAGAACGGCGTTGCCAGATCTAAGAATTCTAGTAACTTTGACTCGGATTTTTTGAAGAATATGAAATATTGGCATTGGCAACCTTGATCATTTTATGGCACATCCTACGGTTGAAAACTACCACATCGTGTCTAATTTAAGCTCCTAATTGAACATCCGGCATAATTAATAAATTGATGCATAACATCGTCCGAAAATGTTTTTGAACAGTTTCCAAATCGTTCCCGGGTGCCTCAGAATATAATGACCTCCATTTCACGATAATTGAAACAAACTACGTCTACTTGTCGGCGTGTGCTCTATCATGTGAATCTGTTGTCACTTAATTTCTAGCTCGCAAAACAAAGCAAATTCAAGAATAATTGACATTAAGGAAACTCTAACGGATTATTAAAGGGCAACAAAAATAACGAATTGTTGAGCATTCCGTTACGTTGTTTATGCCTGCGACAGCAAATAACCAATTAGTCCTTGCAATATCTTCCCATCTCTGATGGTAAAAATATTTAAATTCGGTTTTTTCTGCATAACTTTATTAACAAAGGGCCCCTTTTAATGAATATTTATGTTGCCAGGTTTAAATCTGCAAACAAAATATTTTTTTAAAATTTTTCTAAACAGATTCCAAAAATTGATTTTTTGCTCTAGACAAAGTTTTTTTTAGTTCCTTTTTTCTGAAATTGAAAGTTTGCGAGATATACGCGATTTAATATCTCCATCCAAGTAATTCTGGATTTTTTTTGAGGCATATTCTAACAAAAAATGTGCTTTAGAACTTTTCTCTAAAGCTGGTTTTCGAGTTATAAGCGATACAGTATTTGAAAAAGTACGAAATATGCCATTTTTATGCAGTTAATAGCAGGGATGTGGATATAACATAAAAATTCTGTTAGTCATATGGTAATTTCAAGCTTGACCTATTTCGGTGCTTTTTTGAATAGTAGCTTTGCCTATTTTATAAGGAAACTTAGGATCATATTGGGAATGAATTTTGCAGAGTATGGGACCAGTGCAACATGATGCAAGACTTCATCGAGATCCTAGATGGTTGGGGGTCAACAGCAACAACTCTAGCTCATCTTTGCAGCGGGGAAACTATACCAGAAATCATAAGCAGTGGTCCGGAATTGCTAGTTAAGTTCCAAACTTCACCGTTTGGAAATCCGTTTCATCCTTTACCGATATCTTACATACCAGGATTCGAACTGGAGATTGAGGTAGGAAATTATGTTCATTCTAAACGACTGCGCTTTTATGTAGTATTTAGAAGTAATAAAAACATGACTCCAATTTTCCATTAAAAAAATCGTCTATTATTTAATTGAAAAATGGCGTCGAGTAAAAAACGTGCTATGTCTGATGCAAAATCTTGCAAACACACTAAAAACAATGGAGGATGCATTTGGAGAAGACAGCGACATCTCTTTTTGTAGCGTAAGGGAGATTGTTGAGGCTGATGTGAGTGAAAAGGATAATTTGTATTTAACAGAAATAATCAAACACAAAAATTAAATCGTAATCATCGTCATCAAATCAACAAACAACGGTATCTCCTCGTAAGCAAAATTATGTACGGAAAGATGTTATCCACACGGAATCTGCTGAGAAGATGAAGAATTCGTCTATCTCAAAACAGTCAGTAACAGCAAACATTTCTAGAAACGCAAGTAGCACGATAACTACGCAGCAGTTGGCACATGCTGTCGAACAAGCGCAGTCATCGAATAGTACTTCTACTCCAGCAGTACCTCAGCAGTCCTCTGAGCATGCAGCCGAGGCTGATGCGAGTGGTATTATTGGTCTCTGGCATTTGGTCGAAGGAAAGCGCAAAAGAAACAACCGGCGTAACTGGGTTATTGGGAATGGTCCTTTGATGGTCCAGTTAAAGGTGTCTTTACATGGTAGCAGTATTCACCTGAAAACTAAATTGGATTATACAGGGTGACTTCGAAGTTGAGTCATTTATTTTAACAGTGAGTAGATCTGATCAAAAGAAATGTTTTTTCCTTTACCATTTTTCTGGTAAAATTAAAGTAACAAAGTTATAGCCCTTTGGAAGTTTGAGTACCGCCATGTCTCAATAATAATATTATGTGCTCGTGTTTGGCGACAACGGATATAATCCGCGTTATCGGTTCATCGCATCGGAAACAAAAAAGCGAAAGAATTTGGAACGATGTTTTTACAATTATTTCATTCAGTTGTATACAGTCAGTGCCAGTCGGTAGTGGATAGTGGTATCTGTTGCGTGGCTCAAACGAAATAAAAAATGGACATGTTTATGCGAATCGGTTTCCCAATCGAGTGCAACCAACCCCTCGTGCCTTTGTTAATGTAGTATAACGGGTTCGTGAATCAGGTGACTTAAGACCTCACATATGGAAGGCATGCCGGTGCTCCAAGATCTCACGATCAAATACAGGTCCGCACTGAAATGCTTGTCCCGAGGATACTTTATAAAACAAGGTAAATTTTTTTTTATTTTTACACACATATTTTGGTTTATCTTCCTTCTACAATCATTATCTGAAAATTAATGACTCAACTTCAAAGTCACCCTGTACAGAAGACATGGTGAAGAACATTTTTCTGGAGGCGACTGTTGAAAGCATCACTTTAAAACCTCCTAATATTTATTCCTCTTTCAAAATAACAATTCTACAATCCAATTTTAAAAAACCACTAGACGTTTCAGTATAGCCAAAGAATACGTACATCAAACGTTTTTTTACAAAAAAAGGAGGAATTTACAAATATTAACTTGGCTTTCCAGCCCGGTTTAATACTTTTAAGTGTTCAGTATCCAAATTTTGATAAAGCTGATCAGCTACACGTTACGTTATCAGTCTATGACCGGGTGAAATTCCTCTGTTTAACTGAAACGTGGTCTACAGTTGAGTCGATTGATAATATTGTTATAAATAATTTTCAGTTGGTCAGTTCTTTCTGCAGAACACAGCACAAAAGCGGTGGTGTAGCTATATATAGCGGGAGGTAACATTCAGGCATAAGACCGTAAGACGAGTGCTCTTGTCGCTCGACATCAACAAAGCTTCTGGTCCGGACTTGATTCCTGCCATTGTACTGAAGAGATGTGCAGCGGAGCTTGCTCCAGTTCTTTCGCGTCTCTTCCAGATATCTTATGAATCCGGCACCTTCCCAGAAAACTGGAAATTTGCTCATGTACAGCCCATCCCAAAAAAAGGATCTAAAACCGACCCTTACAACTACAGGCCTATAGCTCTGCTTTCTGTCATAAGTAAAGTGATGGAGAGGTGCATAAATCGCGAGCTTCTGGATTACCTCGAACGTCACAGCTTGATTAGCGACAGGCAGTACGGTTTCCGGCACCAACGATCCACAGGGGACCTCCTAGCTTACGTCACGCAACTGTGGAGTAAACTCATCCAGTCTCATGGTGAGGCTCATGTCGTTGCTCTTGACATCACGAAAGCGTTCGATCATCTGTGGCACGCAGCCCTCTTAAGCAAACTTCCATCCTATGGCCTCCCAGAAAAGCTTTGCAGATGGGTGGCTGACTTTATCTCTGGCCGCAAGATATCCGTCGTAATTGACGGATTCTCCTCTTCATCCCACAACGTCAACGCGGGTGTTCCCCAGGGATCGGTCTTGGCTCCAACACTGTTTCTCTTACATATCAACGACCTCCTTTCCTGCACGATCAACCCAATCCACAGCTTTGCTGATGACAGCACTCTACATGCAGGAATTCAGAGTGACAAGCCCATCTCTGCTGCTGAGCTGGAAAAAAGAAGACTAGCGACGACTTCTTCTCTGACAAGAGACCTGGAGGCTATCACTGCTTGGGGACGCAACAATCTTGTACAGTTCAATGCTTCCAAAACACAGTACTGTACTTTGACGAACAAAAAGCGTCCTAGCGCTCATACAGTTTCGATGGACGGTCGAGTTCTACCAAAGAGCCATTCATTTCGGCTGGTCGGAGTCCAGATCACCGAGGACCTGATCTGGCACGAACACATCTCTTCAATAGCTGCAGCTGCTGGGAAAAAGCTAGGCTATTTGTTTAGGGCTAAGAAGTACTTTTCTCCGCATGACATTCTCACTCTATACAAGGCCCAGATAAGGCCTAGCCTCGAGTATTGCTCACACATTTGGGGTGCTGCCGCCCCGACTACATTGTCCATGCTCGATGCTGTCCAGAGGAGGGCGGTCCGACTGATCGATGACTCTTCTCTAACAGACAGTCTCGGGACTCTTTCGCACCGGCGGGTCGTCGGCGATCTAGCTCTTTTCTATCGCTACACCAACGGGCTTTGCTCCTCAGAGCTCTCTTCCATGATGCCGCCGCGTGATGTGCCTGCCAGACAGACCCGCCTGACTTCGGCGTCCCATCCTAACCGTGTCAAACTTCGTACATCCAGAACTGGCCGATACGACCGCTCCTTTGTCCCGAGGGTGTCTAGATTGTGGAACAATCTACGGGAGGAAGCTTGTCCCAGTTCTACTAACCTTAGGCAGTTCAAAAATCGTATCAATCATATCAAATTTCTTTGGGATCATCATAGCAGCCGCGGCGTTCCGGCATTTAGGCTTCTGCCTGCGCGGCTGTTTCGATATAGGTATATATATAAATAAAAAAAAAAAAACAATACAATTTCCGATTGAAAAACACACCGAGGTTTGCGCAATTCAGCACTCTGATCGTGGAATGCAAAACATCCTTATTTTATACTACGGATCTCCTTCAGGGGACATTAAAATATTCCAAAACAATTTGAATAGAGTTCTAAATTTTATTTACAAACCAAACATTAATATCGTCCTTTGCGAGGATTTCAATGTAGACTTGTGTAATCGCAGCACTGAACGTCCTATCTGAATTTGTATTGCATAAAAAGGTAGGACCAGGTTTTTACTATTTCGGTGATAGATGTCTGAACTGTGTAGTAGACAACGTTATATCGGATCACAGGACAGTACTCTTAGAAATGATGTAACATACGGCAGGTAGTAGGACCACATACTTGTATACACTAAATAAGGTTTTTAACTCTTACTCCATGCAAAATTTTGCACAAGGCCTAAGCAATGAAAACTGGCCCACATTGTATAATTTGCCAGATATCAACAGCGCATTCGACTATTATTATATTATTAAGTGGCCGATTACCTTCTAAAAACATTTTCCGAAAACAAAAAAGCAATTATTAATAATACAAAGGCGTGGGCGAATAAAGGGTTAAGGGCCATATCATCAATCGTTCCTACAATAATTGTAGGATAGGGATATTTCTAGAGTTCTACTATTCCGTGTCAGCGTCAGCGCTGTCCTATTCTGAGGCTATATTTTTTTTTTGAATAGAAGGAAATTTCAGGCTATACAGGGTGTAAATGATAGTCATTATTTAAATGGGTGATAGAGAGGTTAAAAGAAGCAAAGAGTTTCATATAACATGGGGGTCAAACCGGCATTTTTTAGAGAAAAGCGACCTTAAACTAAAATTAAATCTGACAACACCGCAATGCCAGACGCAAATTATGACGCAACGCAGTGTCAATAAAGATGGAGTTTGTTATTTTTGGATCTTAGGTATTATTTCATTATTTGATAATGTACTCGTAAAATGCAAACAATTAAAAAAAACGGACTTACCTCTAACTGTCTCAGCGCTTCACCTGGTGTGTGAAAGTTTATTGAACGTATTAAAAAAAATCCAGTTATAAATAGGGAGCACAATTTTGATATATGCATTTTTTTTCTTTTTAAAGCCCACACTGCACTTTTTTTGTATGTAAAGAAGGTGTTCAAAATGTCGTCCTCCACTTTCCACACAAGCTTCATTACGACCTTCACGAATGGTATGAGGATTTTCTTGGGCCCACCTGAGATTATTATAAAAATTTAATATCCCGTCTCGCGTAAAAGTACATTCGTCCGTCGCTAGAAGGTTTTTAAAAAAATCCGGATTTTTAATGTTTTTGTGCAAAAACCACTGACAGAATGTGAGTCTGCGAGGATAGTCTTCTGGTGCAAGGCCTGCACTTGTTCTACCTGGTAGTGATAAAGCAAATTTTTCCGTAGGATTCTATGGACTATGGTATGCGATAGTCCTACGCGGCGGCCTAATTCCCGAGTGCTGAAATCTGCATTGATTTCCACGATATTTAAAATTTGTTCCTCCTGCTCTACCGTAACATGTCTTTCACGAGTGCGAAATTAGTGGGCTGAACACTTCCTGTATCTCGAAGTCATTGGTACACTTGCACAAATGTCCTTCTGTCTGGGTGTACCCGTTGGCGAAGTCTGTCGCGATAAATTTGAGCTGCAAGATTTGAATTCTGACGAGCTTCACCGTAAACTAACAACATGTCGGCGAACTCTTGACTCGAGAACATTGTAGACAACACGCCTGATGCCCGATAACTAACCACTGTTACCGTTTGCGATCGATTGCCGGTTCGATAAGAGCGATGACGACGCGCTGTTGTCATGTATGTCTTAAATATTCAATTTAATGAAACTTACTTACTTACTGACTACAAATTTTGGCTTAACTTAGAAAAACTTAATGCCATTTATTTGTTAATTACCCAATTTAAAAACGTTTTAGATTAGATTATACAAATTAGTAAGATTGTGGTGATTGTGGTCGATGTAAAGCACTTAAAGTTGTAAACTATAAAGCCATTTAGACAAAAATCTATTGACTTTTGGACCATGGGTCATATGCACTTTTTGACTTGTTTGACCTTCCCTATTACCCATTTCAATAATGACTACCATAACGCTTATACCCTGTATAACGGATATAAATCAAAAGCTTGAATAATTAGATACAAATGGATATTGGTAACATAACCTCAAAATAGAACACGGAACAGTAGAAAACTATGACAATCAAGGAGGCCTCCTGCAATGTTAGGAACGACTGACCATACGGACCTGAAAGATCTAGTACACATTTGCGGGAACAGCATGTACTGGCGATGATTTTTTCCGAAAATAAACTTAAATATTTGTATCTGGAAGCCAAAAAACAGCATCAAAGACTGATTAGAGGAACAAAACTACTACTAACAAACTATTTTAAGTTCACATAATACAGTGAAATCTGCCTGGAATGTAGTAGGTGAACTGAGTGGTAAAAATAAGACAACAAAAAACGTTGTATTTGATGAAAATGGGCAAACTATTACTGATCGTCAGGAAACAGCCAATCACTTAAACAAATATATACTTCAAAAGTGCTCCCCTGGAAATCATAGAGAAAACATCCAGAAATATTGACACAGTTCAAAACTACAACGATGTCATTGAAGGATACGTATATCTTCATCCATTTACGGAAGAATTCTTTAATCTGAATGACAAAAGGTTAAAGAACAAGCGTTCCTCAGGTGCTGACGAAATGACTAATTTCCTAGTTAAAAACGTTTTGGAGTACATTGTTAAGCCTTTTGTTTTTCTGATCAATCTGTCTTTCTGCACTGGCTCTTTTACAGATAGCTTAAAATTGGGAAAAGCAACTCCCATACACAAGAAGGAAGAAACTACTAGCGCAAAAAATTACAGGCCGGTGATGTCTCCCTGTTGTTTTTTCAAAATGTTTGAATACTATTTCTTGGACCGGTTGACGCTGTTTCTTGAAAGAAATGAGCTACTAACATCCAACCAACATGATTTCTGTAACGGTAGGTTAAAATTTACAGCATCTCATTCTTTCTTCAAGCGGCTAGTTCAGTACATTGAGGCAAGAGGGTCCCCTGCTGGCATCTTTTGTGATCTAAGCAGGGCATTGGACTGTGTCAACCATGATCTGTTATTGGTAAAACTGGCAGCTTATGAACTCTTGGTGGACTAGCTTACCTCTGGATTAAATCCTTCTTAGGAAACAGATCGCAGTATGTGACAATAACTCACAACTACTCAAGACAACAAATGCAAGTCAGGTCTAGTGGGATCAATATGGATGTTAGTGTTCTACAAGAATCTGTGTTGGGGCTTGTTCTGTTTGCATTATATCGTCGGCAGTCTGACAAGACCTGCTAAGTGCAAATACGATGATTTTACAGGAGAATGAAAAAACACATCAAGGGTCTGGTATGGTGGCCCTTGTACGTGAAATATCAACTTTATTTTAATTCTATTGTTACTGTGAGCAGGATAAACTAATTTTGCTAAAATATGATTGGACTTTGCTTAAAAATCACATAGCAGATATTGTTACGGTGTAACTTATCGACTTAGCAGCAATTGCTATAAAGAAACTTTATTAACTAAAGAAGGACAATATCGTAGGTATAATAATAGTTTTAGAAAATAAAGAACATATTTTAGATAGTTAAGTACATACAACTTCATTTCTTGCATTTCTTCGTTTTTTGTATTCCATCCAAAGCATCGGACTCAGTAGTGTTTTCGGCAGTTTTATCTTTTTTGTATGGAAGAAGGTCATAAAATGTATGGCAATCTTTGGAAATAACGCTCTTCAAGTATTGTAGATACTTCCATTTAGTCTGTGTTATTTCCAATCTATCGCTGTAAAGGCTAGGGTAGTTTGAAGTCACAGCGATTTGTTTCGGTCTACTCTAAAGACTTTTGAAATCGTTATCGAAATCAAGCTTCACTTTCAGTTCACCGCAGGGATCATAGCATAGCGCTTTGATGTCGGTCACAAGGTTCTCTCTGCCGGGTCTGATTGTCGAATAACGAAGGAGCTCTGTTTTACTATAATCTTCGAAAAAAGTGTGCTCCAGCTGGATCACTTCGTATGGGAATGGTTTTTTTCTAGCTTCTAAAGACGCTGTTACATAATCACTGGGTAGCTTAATTATCCTGTTTTTTAACTTTCTTTCTATGCAACTATGCACTGAGCCGCATTCCATCTGTGTATGGCCTTTCGTGAGATACTTTTGAATAATAGTAACTTTGTGCATGATAGCAAAATTCAGTAAAGCGTTTGACATAATGTTGTTTCTGATCTGAAATGTGCACCCGTCTGAGTAAATAATTATTGGCAAATTATGTTGTAAGCAATGCCTGTTTAAATAATCCAGCAAACATGAAACGAAAGTCGACGCCTGCAGTCCAGAGTCGACCTCGGTAAAAACCAATAGCACGTGGCTTGGTGACTTACAATATTGTATATGGTGAAATTGTGGCAGCTTAGCTTTGTTTTAAAATAAATCTTTGTTGCATTCACTATCGGAGCAGCTTTTACAGCTTGCAGATCGATGCAAATTACAATGCACCCGCCTTTCACAGCTTTCTCCTTATCTCGGTTTTTTTCTTTTCTAGCTTTTTCTTTGTCTTCAATATGTTTACTCCAAATACTACTATCAATGTTACCATTTTCCTGCTCTATGCAAATGTCACATCTTTCTTTGGTGAAAACAAACTAAGATTTTTCTCTTTAAATATCTGCTTAAACACCTTTATACCCAGGCAATGCTTGTTTTTCTCATCACAAACCTCTCTATAAAAATTATGCAATTGCTTCAGAGTAACGAAATGTTGCTCTAAATAAAATTTACTGGTATCCTTTCTCACATAGTGAGATGGCTGTTTCGGAAGGTCATCGAAAAATAAATTCAGGAAATCTGGAACGGAATCACTGTCAAGATCGCTTTCATTACTACTGCTACTGAAATTGCCATGACTTCCAGCGGTTGGCTGATCTTGATCACGATGGCGAAGATCTAAGTCTTTATCCTCTAAACCACAAACATTTATTCCTAGCTCAGCTGGCGGAAGATTGAACTCAGCTTCATCTATTTCAAGAACATCATCAGCCAATACGATCTCCATACTGTTGATATCAAATCCATTAAAGGTGCTTATGTGTTCATCATGTCTTTCTGGTAAGGTGCTTGGTACTGCTGGTACAACTGTTTGGGAATCAGTTTGTGCTGTATTATCAAGTTCTTCGAGAGCTGATTTAGTTTTTTCTTGTTCTCTCACTAGACTTAAGATTTTTTGTGCTCGGGACGCCATTTTTCCTAAAACAAAAATATAATTTTGTGTTTATTCCGCACAAGCACCATACCTGTGAGTTGCATTTGTTCACCTAGATGACATAAACATCATAAAAATAATATAATTATGCTTATCAACAGGTAAAAAGTAATACTTTTGTGTTTTCCAGTGTATAACAGTTTACAATATCAATAGAAACAGAACATGCTAAGTTCCTCCTCATACAGAAATAATATAATTGCAATGACTGCTATCTGCGCTTTATTACAAAACGTTGATTTTAATTGCTTTGATGAGTTGTTTGTTCAAAAATATAATTATGCATATAAAGTAAAACTTATTCTTACCTTTATTTGAAAACTGTTGGAGTCTTGGCTGGTTATTCGGAGAAAAAATGGACACAATAAGCGGTGCGCGACAACACGTGGTTAATAACCTACAAATTTACGAATGCAACTGGACGTTAGCAGGTATTTCGTCAGCTAATAGTAGACGGGGAAGATGGCAGCTATTGTTTCGCGGCAATAGCGTAAACAAATGAATTATGTGTAGTTGGCAGATTATTTCATATGATGTGCCGTTAATTTATGGAGTCAACTACATAAAAAACTCATTTTCAAAAAAATGTCAGTTAGCAGGTATTGTCAGACTGCCGACGATATGTAAATACCCTTGAGCCTTCCTTTTCTAGCACACTTTACCTTATACGCGGACGACACATCGATTATTCTGTCGAATAAAGATGACGCTATCCTAGTTAACGACTGTAATAGCTTGTCACAAAGCATCAATAAATGGTTCGTGGAGAACCAGCTGCATCTAAATAGTGACAAAACAAGTCATAAGATTCCACAATGTCCAAAAATCAATTCATCCACCGTAGCTTACATTGGATAATTCAGCCCTATCCATCATTGAGAGCACAAATTGTTGGGACTGCACCTGAATGAGTGCCTCAATTTTGAAGAAGATTGTGCCTACCTGTCTGCGAAGCTTAGCTCACAGGCCTACCTATTTAAAAATAGTAGAACAGCTTTCACACGCGACCAGTTGCTGATGTTATATCACAGTCATATCTAGTCGCGAATACGGTATGCATTGTGTTTCTGGGGTTCATCGGCGAATTCTTCAGAGGTATTTCGAAGTCAAAAGAGAATAATACGATGCATAGCAGGTGTTGACAGTATATACAGTCGCAGGGACCTGTTCCCGAAATTAACAATTCTAACACTGCCCTCGCTGTCTCTGTATACGTATATTAACTGGGATAATTTCACTTTGAATAGTAATTAATATTCATACATGCAATACACGTAGGCAGCACATTCATCTACTCTTTGGTCGACATCAGCTAGGTAGTAGATCTCCCTCTGTTTTAGGTACAAAAGTATTCAATAAGCTGCCTGGGTATATTAAGACAATTAGCTCCTTAAATAATTTTGAAGCTGAGTTGAAAACCTCTTTTATTCATAAGACTTGCTACGCCATCAGCGACTTAGTGGATATTTGGACGTTCTTTTTTTTGTATTGTTTGTTGTCCACTTATTGTTTGTCCTTTTATATATACAGGGTGACTTTGAAGTTGTCATTAATTTTCAGATAATGATTGTAGAAGGAAGATAAACCAAAATATGTGTGTAAAAATAAAAAAAAAAAATAAAAAAAAAATTTACCTTGTTTTATAAAGTATCCTCCCGACAAGTATTTCAGTGCGGACCTGTATTTGATCGTGAGGTCTTGGAGCACCGGCATGCCGTCCATATGTGAGGTCTTAAGTCAAATGATTCACGAACCCGTTGTACTACATTAACAAAGGCACGAGGGGTTGGTTGCACTCGATTGGGAAACCGATCCGCATAAACATGTGCCATTTTTTATTTCGTTTGAGCCACGCAACAGACACCACTATCCACTACCGACTGACACTGACTGTAGGTATACAACTGAATGAAATAATTGTAAAAACATCGTTCCAAATTCTTTCGCTTTTTTGTTTCCGATGCGATGAACCGATAAGGCGAGTTATATCCGTTGTCGCCAATCACGAACACATAATATTATTATTGAGACAGGGCGGTACTCAAACTTCCAAAGGGCTATAACTTTGTTACTTTAATTTTACCACAAAAATGGCAAAGGAAAAAAACATTTCCTTTGATCAGATCTACTCACTGTTAAAATAAATGACTCAACTTCGAAGTCAAACTGTATATATAAACCCACGGCTTCACCCGCATGATAGTCAATAGCGTTACAGGCAACAGGATGCCGCGCGGCATCAGCTTTCGGTAGTTGTTCAACAGCTGAATCGTAGAGTAAAATCCACATTGAGTTAGCAAGTAAAGCCGGCTACAATTTTCTCGGGATAATAAATATAACTTGACAAATTTTCACGGGATTTTGTGTCTCATGGCGATCGGATAAACTGTATATATACAGGGTGACTTCGAAGTTGAGTCATTTATTTTAACAGTGAGTAGATCTGATCAAAAGAAATGTTTTTTTCCTTTACCATTTTTCTGGTAAAATTAAAGTAACAAAGTTATAGCCCTTTGGAAGTTTGAGTACCGCCCTGTCTCAATAATAATATTATGTGCTCGTGTTTGGCGACAACGGATATAATCCGCCTTATCGGTTCATCGCATCGGAAACAAAAAAGCGAAAGAATTTGGAACGATGTTTTTACAATTATTTTATTCATTTGTATACAGTCAGTGTCAGTCGGTATCGCGTGAGTGAATAGTTGTGTCTGTTGCGTGGCTCAAACGAAATAAAAAATGGCACATGTTTATGCGGATCGGTTTCCCAATCCAGTGCAACCAACCCCTCGTGCCTTTGTTAATGTAGTACAACGGGCTCGTGAATCAGGTGACGGCATGCCGGTGCTCCAAGACCTCACGATCAAATACAGGTCCGCACTGAAATACTTGTCGGGAGGATACTTTATAAAACAAGGTAAAAATTTTTTTTAATTTTTTTTATTTTTACACACACATTTTGGTTTATCTTCCTTCTACAATCATTATCTGAAAATTAATGACTCAACTTCAAAGTATATATATATATATATATATATATATATATATATATATACTTTTATTGAATTTTTGTTGATTTATTAATTTTAACTACTGGAAAGCTAATCTATTTTATCTGCTGTTGTTTGCTAATGGTGCCCATTTTTAGATATTTAATTTCAGCTATTGTTTGTTGTTGCTTGTCATTTCATTATTTATTTTTTTATGTATATATATACAGTGCGTTCATTTGAAGACTTCCCACCACGGATTTATCGAAAACCACTGACTTAACAAAGAAACGGCGAGACACGTCAATTTCATTTGTCAAGGGGAACAACTCTTTAACCAAAAACTACTACACCTTCTTTCATTCACGGCCCCCTAGAGTCTTTCCCTTAAAATGACAAGGGGTATCGAGTAATAGCTTGTTCGAAAGGCCTCTCGAAGTCCTTTATTTTGACGTTTGATTTTTTAAAATCAGTCGATTCTCTTTCGAGAAAATTAGAAAAATCTTTGTTTATTTTAGTTTGTTCAGATAGAAAACAAAAACACACGAAATTATCACTTTTTATTCCAATAAGTGCTCAAAATTTGCCCGATAAGGTTTGCCAAATCTACAATTCGTTTATAATTTAAAACGGAAACTGCCAACATAAACAGCAATTCGGAAGATTAGTCGTGGCAACAACCAAATAACAACCCAAATTTTTTTCCGCATTTGTTGCCAAGCGAATAAAGAATTTAATTTGCTGTCAGTTACCTGGAATGGTGAAAATTAATTTATTGATTCAGATTTAACTTCCAAAATGGTTTACACACTAGCCGAAAGAGTGGAAATGATTCTAATTTATGGTGCCCAAAATGACGTGCTCGGCAAACTGCCGTCACGTTTAACGTATAGGTATGTTTTGGACCTTGTTACTGAATTTACATAAACTGGATCTGTTGCAAATGAAAAACGTGATCTTCGGAGAGTTTTGGATTAAGCCGCTCAAGTTGAAGCTTCGGGTCATTTTGGAATAAATCCTAATACTACATTATGCAAATTTGTTGCTGCGACTGATATTTCATTAGGCTCTGTACACACAGTTACTAAACTCCATAAGTTTCATCTATTCAAAATGAAAATATTGCAGGAGTTAACCAAAGATGATTTCGATAGGCGAGTTGAGTTTTATGAAAAATGACTACACCTATTGATGAATATACCATTCATGTAAAGATATTTGGAGCAATGAAAATCCTCATGCTTTTGTAGAACGGCATACCCAGGACTCCCAAAAAATTAATGTTTGGGCAGGAATTTTAGGAAACAAAGTGATTGAGCCATCGTTTATTAATGGAAATTTGAGTGGAGACATTTATTTGAATATGTTGAAAAATACCATCGAACCGCTTATCAGTCAAACCATTGAAAACCTAATCGAAGAGTATGGAAACCCTATACTGGATGACGCTGAAATATATTTCCAGCAAGACGGCGCTCTTCCTCACTATGTTCTTCCGGTTCGGCAATGGCTAGACGGAGAGTTTCCAGATAGATGGATAGGGCGAAGATGGCCTATAGAATGGCCTGCTAGAACTTCTGATATGACGCCATTAGACTTTCTCCTATGGGGCCATTTGAAATCTATTGTGCTTACTCCCAACCTGAAAGTTTTGATGAACTTCGTCAACGCATCATTCGAAGCTGCCATGATATCCCACAACATGTTTTGCCTATATCATTGTATAGTCAATAATGGGCAACATTTCAAGCACTTATTCACACATTTTCGTGTGTGTTTGTTTTCTATCTGATCAAATCAAGATATATAAAGATTTCTCTAATTTTCTTGAAAACCAATCGACCGATCTGAAAAAATCAAATGTCAAAGTAAAGGACTTCGAAAGGCCTTTCAAGCAAGCTTTTATTACTCGATACCCCTTGTCATTTAAAATTTTCAGGGGGATGACACTGGGGGGGGGGGTCAGACGGTGAAAGGGGGTGAAGTTTTCAAATGAACACACTGTACTCGTATATATAACATTAATAATCATAATGTGTAAAATACAATTAGTCTCGAACAAAACAAATAAACATAGAGTACCCACAGAAGGCAGCTGCCTGTGCGCGGGTATTTAGCCATACGAAACATTGTCATTACATACTGATATATACTAAGTGACATATAAATCCGAACACCCAGTTTAAATGGTTTTATTTTGATAAAGCATAATAAGTAAACACGCGCCTAGGCATGCTTCTGAACAGGTGGTCAATGTCCTCCTGTGGTATCTCATTCCAGGCAACCACCAACTCCTCTCGAAGTGCTTCTAGAGTCTGAGGAGGACGTTGCAAATTGAGCAATCTCCTACCCATCAGATCCCACACGTGCTCAGTTGGGGATAAATCGGGAGATCTTGGTGGCCATGGTAACAATGTGACATCATTATGTTGAAAGAAGTCTACTGTGACTCTTGCAACATGTGGTCGGGCATTATCTTGTTGGAAAGTTGGATCTGCCAGGGTGTCAAGATACGGTAAAAGATGGGGTTCTAGAACTTCGTGGATATAACGCTCCGCGTTCATGTTACCTCTGATGAAGATTGAAGGTGACCTGGAACCATAAGCTATAGCACCCCAAACCATAACTCCAACAGTGTGATGAACATGTCTTTCAACAAAAAACTGTGGATTCCTCCTTTCACCACGTCGCCTTCTAACCCTGCCACGACCATCGTGCATGCCTAAACAAAACGAGACTCGTCACTAAAGACAATACTGTTCCATTCCTGATCCCAGAGTGACCGTTGTCTGCACCACTCAAGGCGATTACGTCGGTGCTCTCGACTTAAAGGGAGGACCCAGTGTGGCCGGTATGAAAACAAACCAAAACTTCTCATTCGTCGGCAAACACTTCGCATGCCAATAGGTCTTCCGTGTTCTGCAAACCATTCATTTGCAATGGACCTGGTAGTGGAGAAACGGTCCCATAAGGCCAATAATCTTGGGCGGCGATCTTCACGGTCTGTTGTTGCGTACGGCCTTCTCGAAGCCATGCCTGACAACACCTAACCACAGTGTCTACACTTCTTTGCACTCTAACTGCAATTGCCCGAAAAGAAAGTCCAGCTTCCCGAAGTCACACTATACGGCCCCTATCAAACTCACTAAGTTGACGAAATCGTACAGGTCTCCGTACTCTAGGCATCGTAACCGATCGTAAAGGATGTCAAGAACCAAAATCCGCCAACGTTGGTTCTTTACTGCGGCTGAAATATTCATTTTTAGAGCGTTAGTAAATTAAAATAAAGCAGTATAAAAACCGGAATGTCCAACTGATAAGGCTGAAAATTTTTTCACTTGTTATTTACAGTAAGATAAATACATTCACCAACTTTTATTAAAATAAAACCATTTAAACTGGGTGTTCGGATTTATATGTCACTTAGTATATACTAAAAGTTGGTGAATGTATTTATCTTACTGTAAATAACAAGTGAAAAAAATTTCAGCCTTATCAGTTGGACATTCCGGTTTTTATACTGCTTTTTTTTAATTCACTAACGCTCTAAAAATGAATATTTCAGCCGCAGTAAAGAATCAACGTTGGCGGATTTTGGTTCTTGACATCCTTTACAATCGGTTACGATGCCTAGAGTACGAAGACCTGTACGATTTCGTCAACTTAGTGAGTTTGATAGGGGCCGTATAGTGGGACTTCGGGAAGCTGGACTTTCTTTTCGGGCAATTGCAGTTAGAGTGCAAAGAAGTGTAGACACTGTGGTTACGTGTTGTCAGGCATGGCTTCGAGAAGGCCGTACGCAAAGAGCAAGGGGCACTGGACGCCGCCGTAGAACAACAGACCGTGAAGATCGCCGCCCAAGGTTATTGGCCTTAAGGCACCGTTTCTCCACTACCAGGTCCATTGCAAATGAATCGTTTGCAGAACACGGAAGACCTATTGGCATGCGAAGTGTTTACCGACGAATGAGAAGTTTTGGCTTGTTTTCATACCGGCCACACTGGGTCCTCCCTTTAACTCGAGAACACCGACGTAATCGCCTTGAGTGGTGCAGACAACGGTCACTCTGGGATCAGGAATGGAACAGTATTGTCTTTAGTGACGAGTCTCGATTTTGTTTAGGCATGCACGATGGTCGTGCCAGGGTTAGAAGGCGACGTGGTGAAAGGAGGAATCCACAGTTTTTTGTTGAAAGACATGTTCATCACACTGTTGGAGTTATGGTTTGGGGTGCTATAGCTTATGGTTCCAGGTCACCTTCAATCTTCATCAGAGGTAACATGAACGCGGAGCGTTATATCTACGAAGTTCTAGAACCCCATCTTTTACCCTATCTTGACACCCTGGCAGATCCAACTTTCCAACAAGATAATGCCCGACCACATGTTGCAAGAGTCACAATAGACTTCTTTCAACATAATGATGTCACATTGTTACCATGGCCACCAAGATCTCCCGACTTGTCCCCAATTGAGCACGTGTGGGATATGATGGGTAGGAGATTGCTCAATTTGCAACGTCCTCCTCAGACTCTAGAAGCACTTCGAGAGGAGTTGGTGGTTGCCTGGAATGAGATACCACAGGAGGACATTGACCACCTGATCAGAAGCATGCCTAGGCGCGTTGGAGAATGCGTAGCACATCAGGGTGCATCCAAACATTATTAAAGGTCAAAGGGCTTTAAAGCAGTGCAATCATTTTGAAATTTTTATCATTTACTTATTATGCTTCATTAAGTACTTATACAAAATTTTATTAAAATAAAACCATTTAAACTGGGTGTTCGGATTTATATGTCACTTAGTATATTCATGTGAATTTCTTTTTTAAATGTTATATTTGATATATTTTGATATATGCTTAATTATTATTGAATATATGATTATATCACACAATTACATAAATTTATCATATAATATATATCCGTTTAAATAAACTGAATTTAAAACCTTATAAATTTCTACAGATCTAGAAGTAGGTGGTAAGTTTTTGTCCAAAAAATCTCAATATACATTAAATTATTGTTTGATTAATATCTATACACGATTGTTTTTGTATCCACAGTTTTATACGTTTTTTGTATGTGCAGTAACTGGTGTGCTGTCTACATTCATCAGGCAGAAGGTTATACACTCGTGGGCCTATATATTCAAATTACCTTTGCCCAATTTGCTCATTCATCCTTCAGGTCTGGACCACCGATCTGGACTGATAGTGTTTTACACCTTGTCTCATGGTTATGTTCTGGTCTCAGGAGTGTATGTTCGTATTTATGAATAAATAACAGCAAGTTCATACAATGAATAATAAAAACACAAGAATCCTGATGCTTTTTCGGTTGGGTAAAGAATGTTGACATCTAAATCATTTTCAAAATCCATTTTTGTGTAACTTCAAGTTCATTCTAATGCCGTGGGCAGTACTCCCCCATCCAACAATGTCGTAACTAAAGAACTTGAATCTTGGTATTAGATCTTAATTAATTTGTAAGGTACTCAACCTGAGCATGCCATTTGACGCGGTCATCAATCTTTATCCCTATATATACTGTAAATTGTGTTTCCTGACGAACTCTATACATTTTATAGATGTCTAATGGGTAATAAATATTATTATTGTTATTATTACTTGACCTTATCTCACTTGATAACTTATCATAAAGTCCTCATATTTTGTAAACAACTCAAACTGGTCTAAAACGATTTAACTTATTTTCTAGGTAATTTACGTCAACAAAGAATCCCCGACGTACATAGAACACGGCAAAAAATGCGAATTCATAGTCTCAACCTTCGATAGCTCCTCCGGCTACCTCAAGAGCCCCCTGCATTCACTTCCGCCAAATACGACCTGTCAATACCATTTCCGGGGCCAATCGAAAAACATCATCTGGATATCGTTCATCAAATATCACGTAACGAACGAGAGACAGACGGACTTCAACAGTGGCGAGTGCGACGTGCAGCTTCAAATTTGGGACGGTGACGTCAAAAGCGAGAAAACCGTACCTCTGATTGGTCAGTTTTGCAAGGATGACAAGCCGAAGCTGTGCGATCATTCGTTGCTTAAGAATTCCTCGAGGCTTACGAGGCCTTGCGGATTGGCGGAGAGTTATGTCAGCACGCATTCTGATTTGACCATATCGCATTCTATCAAGTATGGCAGTGTTTTGTATCCTGTCAACTTTATTCTAAGGTAAATAAGTGCAATGGCAAATTAAGATTTTTGTTTGTTTATTGTTTGAGAGCAGCTGTTACCCGAAACTACGTTCGCTTAAAATTGTTGAAATAACCAAAATTTTAAAATTAACATGTTCCTTTTTCCATCAGCTTGACTGGTGGAGTTGTGTATAGAGATGATCGAAAAACAATGTTATGTCAAAATTTTTTGTGCATTTTTATGCATTTATCTTCATTCGTAGCTTATTAATAAATAATAGTAAAGTTCTAAAATTGTATGTGAGTATTCCACTTTTATGTAACAATTGAGTGGGTGATAACTTCTCTTCTTATCACTACTTCTCTTGAAATAAGTTTTGCTCGTCTTGAAAACTCAATTTGATGCAAAATGAGGTTTCCAGAAAACCAAAGATTTTTAGAAAAAAGTGCTATGAGTAAAAGTAATCACATTCTACTATAAAAGTCGGATTTTGACATACAATGTCTGTACTAATATTTGTTAGAAGTTACGATTGATGAAAGACTGCACAATAAAATGCACAAAAATCCATTGTTTGACAAAATCGGCCTTTTCACTGCTTGAAATCTCACCCAGCTAGGCTTGTTGGAAATTATAGGTGTTTATCTTTTTTTTGTTCACTTAGGTGCTCCAGAAACAGGTTGAATCATGCATATTTTTGTTTTTTTTTAAATATCTTAGCCGCCACAGAATATTTTTTTATTTTGCTTGCTCCAAATTAAAGGTCTTCAAAGCGCGCATGAAACAGCTTTTTTTGCTCGAAATTCAATCTTTTTAGGCTTTAAAATTATTGACATCTTTTAACAATACCAACCTATTGTCACACGTTATGATGAACAAAATATATGTAACGTGTCTTTGGTAGATCGATCGTTTTTCATAATTTTTCAGGCGGTGATAGAGGATCAAAAAATTCTAAATCTGTTTTCTTTTTCGTTATTTTTCGATATTTTTTTCATAATCTTTTGTATATATTTTCATGAAGAATAGAGGTTTCAAATAACTTTTGGTTTGACCAGATTTAATAGGAACCGGTAGTAGCATTTTTTTAAATTGACTACTTTTTGGAAGCATTTCAATTATAATTTTGTCAATTTGCATTATTGTTTCGTGATTAATGGGTGCAAATACTTACGCTTTTATATACACCTGCGCTTAGCCCCCTATATCTTGTGACAATTACTATGAAAATAAAATCAGCTATTTTTCTTAGTTGACGCTGAAAACCAAACATAATAATAATATTCATAATAATATGTTTATTCCCGTATTGTACAAACATAGCTAAAACTAATATACATATACTTACATCATACGTAAATAAACTGCAAATACCCACAGAAGAATTAATTACCCACATTCTTGCGCGTAGGAATGAATTAGTTAAAACTTATAGAAATATTTACATAACTATACTTACATATACATGGTTCACAGATACATAAGCATATATCAGGGTGTCCGCAAAGTTGGGGTTTTCCTTTTCAGAAACAACTACCCTTGAAATAACAAAAGTAATGTGTAGTGAAACGAGGGCGACCAAGTAAAAAAAAATAAAGGAAAAAGTACTGACTCTCCAGTTGACGAGAAGGGCTAAGTACGTCTCTGCCCGAAATCATACCGCTCCAACAGAAAATGAAAACAGCTAATGCGCTACCGAGCAGACGCAGGCAAACAAGGAAGGCAAAATGTTGCGTAATGACCAAACATGAGTGTTGCGAAAGTTAGTCACCCCATTACGCGTGTACGTAGATTCGTCTGTCACCATTATGCACTTCAAAAAGTCCGGATTATGGTCATGTTGATGCAACAACCACTCACAAAACCGCACTCTTGCTGGAAAATCGTCAGGTTGAAGGGCTTGTACACGTTGGACGTGAAACGGATACAGCCCCTCTTCACGCAGCGTTTGCCACACTTTAGTTTTTGATACTTGCACTTCTCTAGCCACGTCTCTAGTGCTTGTTGTTTTTTGAAACGCAATCGATTATATGGGTTCGTTTACCTCTACACGCGTGACCGTAACCGTCGGTTGAAGGTTGCATACTGACCTGACACACTGACCCCGACCCAGTTCTGCCGTCGGGTTGAGACCTTGTACCAATCGGTGATGTCCCGGGTCGCGGCTACATGACGGTATTCAGATATTTTTGATGTTGCAGAGCCCTTTATCTCAGTTCCCTTAAGACATTGGTGTATATGGTACTAAGAAAAATTGCTTATGTTTTAAAGATCTACACTTGTGCAAAGGAAAACCCCAACTTTGCGGACACCCTGTATATACGGGGTGACTTTGAAGTTGAGTCATTAATTTTCAGATAATGATTGTAGAAGGAAGATAAACCAAAATATGTGTGTAAAAATAAAATAAAAATTTACCTTGTTTTATAAAGTATCCTCCCGACAAGTATTTCAGTGCGGACCTGTATTTGATCGTGAGGTCTTGGAGCACCGGCATGCCGTCCATATGTGAGGTCTTAAGTCAAATGATTCACGAACCCGTTGTACTACATTAACAAAGGCACGAGGGGTTGGTTGCACTCGATTGGGAAACCGATCCGCATAAACATGTGCCATTTTTTATTTCGTTTGAGCCACGCAACAGACACCACTATCCACTACCGACTGACACTGACTGTATACAACTGAATGAAATAATTGTAAAAACATCGTTCCAAATTCTTTCGCTTTTTTGTTTCCGATGCGATGAACCGATAAGGCGAATTATATCCGTTGTCGCCAAACACGAGCACATAATGTTATTATTGAGACAGGGCGGTACTCAAACTTCCAAAGGGCTATAACTTTGTTACTTTAATTTTACCAGAAAAATGGTAAAGGAAAAAACATTTCTTTTGATCAGATCTACTCACTGTTAAAATAAATGACTCAACTTCGAAGTCACCCTGTATACAGGGTGTTTCAGTTTATTGTTGCATAACTTTAAGATTCGCTAGAACTTCTAAAATTAATGCATAAAGTCTATATAAACATGGGTCGAAAAATGCGTGGCTTCCGAAATACAAGGTGTTTAAATTTACTTTCTAAAGTAGTTTTTTTAAATATTTCGAACAATATTTGATGTATAACAGTGAAAATTGGTATACAAGGGTTTTTTGGTACGACAAAACGAACCATAGTTTTACGGTAGCCGCTGGAGGGCACTCTCTACGGTACCTGTAGTGTATTAAAATGACCGAAAATTTTTGCTTAGTGCAATTTTTTGCTTTTTGAATATAAAAACTGATTCTTCGCACTTTTCAACATAAAAAAGCTCTCTTGTGAGTTTTCGTTATAGTTAACCGTTTTTGAGATATTTCGATTTTTAAGGTTCGATGCATTTTTAATTATTTATCGGAAAATAATATTTTTTTTACATTTTCGATTTGGGCATTACAAGTAATTAAGATGATCGTTTAGATTGTGTTTTTAAACACAGCAATAATTCTTAACTCCAAATAAACACAAAAAAACAGAATATTAATTTCTTTAATTTTCCAATATTATTTTTAACAAATTAAATTAATTATTTACAACTAAAAAGCTATCAGATAGTTAGGACAAACATACAAAATCTAAAGTAGTTGCTCGAAATGTAAACCCAATTGCTCAGTACACAATTCACATCTACGGATGATCGAACATTATTCAAATAAGGCCTTATTTCATCACATGCTTTCCTGATTCTGTCTATTAGCATATCTCTTGTGGTTACGGGAGTCTGGGACACTTTTTCTTTTAGAAGTCCCCACACAAAGAAATCTAATGGATTTAAGTCAGGGGATCGTGGAGGCCAGGCGACTGGTCCTCCACGGCCGATCCATCTTTCTGGATAATTTTCGTCCAGCCAGTTTCTAACGATTCTCGTATAATGAGCTGGACAACCATCAAGCTGGAACCAGGCCAATCTTCTTAAATCTAACATAACATCATCCCACATATTTGCATGTTCAGCCTTTAAAAATTCCAGGAAGGTCTCAGCATTTAACCTTGCAGGCAAAAGGTAGGGTCCAAATAGTCGATTACGGTAGATACCAATCCACACGTTCACACTAAATTCATGCTGAAAATTTCTTTCCCGAACTGCATGCGGATTTTCCTGCGACCAAATATGTTAATTATGAAAATTTACCACTCCACGTCTAGTGAAGTATGACTCATCGGTCCATAAAACGTTACTTAAAAACTCCCTATTGTTATCAGTTCTATCAAGAATCCACTGACAAAATGTGATTCTTCGTTCTCCGTCCTCCGGCTGTAGTCCTTGCACAGGTTGCAAATGGTAAGGACGTCTTTGGTCATTTCTAAGAACACGGTGAGCGTGGCTTGCTGAAATTCCCAAGGCACCAGAAACTCTCCTAACACTTGTGGTCGGATCTCTATCAAACTCACGCAGAATCATACGGGTAAATCTGCGCTGACGAAAATTTATGTTTTGATCCCTTTGGAGATATCCAAAACCATTTTCAATTATTTGGCGATGCACTCTTACAAATACTGAGCGAGTTGGATGTCGTCTGTTTGGAAATCTTCGTGCGTATTCTCTGGCTGCTTCTGCTGCGTTTCCATTTACAAAGCCATACACAAAATGAATATCCGCTAACTCTTGATTGGAGAATAAAAATGGCATTTTTATAAAACTTACAAAAAAAACAGGTAAAAGAAACTAAATTTCGTGCATTCACAATTGCAAAAAAACGTTTCAGGTTTCAACAGACAACAAAACTAACTGTCAACTAAGTGACGTTCAACCTTATTCTGCTTTCAATTTCAAAAATATTTGCAGGCACAGCCTGCTTCTAAAAATTATCGAGATACTGACTTTTTAACGTTATTTTCCCATAAATAATTAAAAATGCATCGAACCTTAAACATCGAAATATCTCAAAGAAAAATTTTTCGGTCATTTTAATACACTACAGGTACAGTAGAGAGCGCCCTCTAGCGGCTACAGTAAAACCATGCCCATGGTTCGTTTTGTCGTAGCAAAAAACCCTTGTATACCAATTTTCACTGTTACACATCAAATATTGTTCGAAATATTTAAAAAAAACTATTTTAGAAAGTAAATTTAAACACCCTGTATTTCGGAAGCCACGCATTTTTCGACTCATGTTTTGTATAGACTTTATGCATTAATTTTAAAAGTTCTATCGAATCTTAAAGTTATGCAACAATAAACTGAAACACCCTGTATATATAATATATAATATTAATAGTTAATTGCCTTATCTGTTAGGAGAAAATATCCTTGAATTTCTTTGGGTAGAAGGCAAAGTTTAGCATAAGTACACTCTAACAACTTGAACTCGAGCTTTCGATGGTCTATGCCATCATCGTCTGGAGCTAAAAAACAATTTTTGTAAAATTGGGCTTGAAGTACCACAGCAAGTGGCTATAACCGGCCGCTTGGTTGTGGTTAGATGTCTCCTTGAAAATTCGAGGTCTTCTAGCCATTTTATACTACAATGTGTAGGTTGGCTGCTCTTGTTGTTGACTTCGTGTGTCGGTTTTTTCCCTCTCCATCTTCGTTTTCTCATGTTACACCCGTATCCGTATGTGTGGGCATGTGTATCTACTTTCTCCGCATAATCATTTTCTCTATATATATATGAACATAAGGATTTTGAATTACTACGTTGTGTTTAATTTTCTTTCATATGTATCATCCTTTCAATTTCATGACGATTTATCTCAAATATGATTTTTTTCTTTCACTTTTAAATATGGTTTTATTAGAAATATCCCTTAAATCATTCCGTAATATGTTAAATAGCCTACTAGAAAGATATGTATGACATCTTTGACCTATACTTCTAGAGGTGAAAGATGTTTGCTTGATGTTGGTGATTATGTTTCTCGTTTGATATAGGTGATCTAACGGAATTTCTATGTTAAAACTGACAAATTATAATTCTGTAAAAACATCGTTGCCTAGGGTCTAATAGTTTTGTTTCAGAGTACAACAGATCAAATGGGTAATAGAAGTGGCTTGTCAAAGGTTATTTTTAAAAATTGTTTTTGGATAATTTCCAGTTTATTAATTTGGTTATTAAGGGCCGTATTGTCGGTCGTTCCTACAATTATTATTGTAAGACGCCTTAATGGCCTCCTTAATTTTCATAGCTTTCTACTGTATCGTGTCAGCGCTTTTGAGGTCATGTCACAAATATCTATATACCCTATTACACGAGTATACATCACGGTAGAATGGCAGCTGATTATCTAGTAATATCTCAAAATTCTCCATATCAGCACAGGACACATAATTCTGATTGATCCGTCAACGTCAGATAGTCAGAGCCGTATTTTGTTTTGGTTTTTTGTACGCTACAGATTCATTTTGTACTTGCTAACATCTCTTTTATTTAGAAAAGTTCATTTGCATACAAAAAACCAAACGCTACAAACAAGTTTTAGTAGATTTACACCCGATTCATTATTGCCAACGTCGCAGACTAACACAAAAATGTCACTTGCTGATCAGCTGTTCAGCTCAGTAGACGTCAAAGTTTGATAGATACTCGTGAAATAGGGTATACCTGCTTCGACGTCTACTGAGGTGAACAGCTGATCAGTGAGTGACACTTTTGTGTTAGTCTCCAATGTTGGCAATAATGAATCGGCACGGGTATCACGTATCTTGAAAAGTGACATGATGCCGATTTTTTTTTTACATTATGTAGGTTAGTCTAAAAGATGTTAACTTAGCACTCAGTTGTACGTGTTGCCTAAAACGTCATGAGGCTTGTCATCAATCTTTGACTCTGATGTGATGTAACATCTGCTCCTGAGATGGCATTACTGGAGGTCTAAGCTGTAAGTTGTATGTGTTGATAATAATTACATTGAATTCTTGTCTCAAATACACTTAATTTATATTCGAAGCTAGAAATTAGTTGCGCATCCACTTTTTCTTATAGACTCTGGAAATTACATATACAAATTTGCTGAATTTAAAAAATGAGAGAGATAAGAAATAATCATATTCACTGTACACTGTCGGATTACAAGCCATACACATGCTAACAGTAATTACACACAATGCTTGCGCGGTGATGATTTCGAGTAATTCTCCTCAGATTTTGGTAACTTATAAGTTTGAACATAACCTCTCTTCAGAAAGCACCACATATAAATAACCCGTCATATTCGGCATATTCAGTAATGATTTTCTCACACAGCAAATATCACTGATTTTATACACATGCAGACCAATAATGCGTAGTTTAGTTGAGTGATTCGTCCATAGATGGACGTTCACAACGATCCTAGTGAGCAAACGTGGAATGACTGTTTGCGCCCTAAAAACTCAATAGTCTGCAAGTTGACATCTTATAGGTTTTTTTTTTGACGTTTTGTAGGTTTTTTACATGATACCCGTGCCGGTGTAAATATAGTAAAACTTATTTGTAGCGTTTTGTTGTATGTATGCAAATGAACTTTTCTAAATAAAAGAGTTTTCAGCGAGTACAAAATGAACCTGTAGTGTACAAAAAATCAAAACAAAGAATGGCTCTGTCTACCTGGTATTGATGCATCCATCAGAATTAAGTGTCCTTTGCGGATATGGGGAATTTTGAAATATTACTAGATTATTAGATGTCATTTCACCGTGAAAAATACCGTATTTGCATCAAGTTGTTCATGCTTTTGATCTATATCATCCATTTTATCAACCTGAAATACTGTGAAAACCAAGGAGGCCATAAAGGCGTCCTACAACTGTAGGAAAGACTGACGATACGGCCCTAAGTGTTCCACCCCAACCTAATATTGCATAACTCATACGACTGTCGATCATAGCATAATATAAAATTTTCATTGTCTTTTATTTTAAATACTTGAATTTAAATAGTACCTAATGGTCTCAGATTGGTTATTACATGATCCATATGTATATTCCACCTTAAATATTAGTCTAAATATACACCTAGATATTTTAATTTGTTTTTTAAATATATTTTAGTATTTGTATAATCGCAATTAATCTGTATAGAAGCAAATGATGATAATTTGTTCCTAAGATTTGTAAATGGGATGAACATAGTTTTTTTAAAGTTGATAGTTAGGCATTTATGTCTGAACGTGTATTCACTCATATCCTGTCCATCTTACTAACTACTCACTTACTTCCCTGATAAATTGCGTGTTCATATTTCTATAAACTTTACTTGAAAAGTGATCATATCTCCATAAATATGTTCATCCCCTCCTACCCATTTTAAGGATATAATTTCTTGAATAATTTTGTAATGTTTTTTTATTTTAAAGATAGAATGTTTGACTATACATACTACTACTTCTAGACAGGCCTAATTTGGAATATTCAAGATTCAAGTTCATTCCACCCATTTACACAATATCAAATAATCAAATATATAAAAGCCATATTTGTATTCCTAACTCAAAGACTAATATTCATTTTTACGCCCTATATCATCCCTTAAGCTTTTATTTTCGCAAAAAGGTAGCCTGTATGCGTCTCCAAGGTCTAGTCTATATCTATGAGAAAATTCATTTTGTTTGCTTGTTTAAGATTTATTTAGCATGATTGCTACAATTACATTCTTTTAAAAACTGCAATAATTACAAAACTTGTATATCTAAGAATTTCTAAGAATTTTCACTGTCCATGATTCGTTTAATTTTCATTTAAGCATCTTCAAATTACAAGTACACTATAAATTATTATTTAGTTTATCAAGTTCAGCTAATCCCTTCTGAAATATTGATTTGCTAGCTATATTAATATTGCAATTTAGTAAATGGAAATCTTTATTTCCTCTTGTATAATACTTGTGGTAATTATTTTTCAATTCTATGTAATTTTCGAGATGTTGTGATTTTTTATTTTAAATATGCAAATAACCAAATATGAAATTTTTTATATTAATCCACTGCAATTCTTGTAACAGATTTTATTTTGGTGTGCTTATTTTTATTCATTGTTACTCTTATAGCTTTATTTTGTTGGACTTGTAATTTTGAGAATGCAGCTTCTTTGGCGGTGAATAAGTTAGTTGAACAATATGCGGAGGAATAATTGTATTATACACTATTTCTTGAAATGTGTGCTAAGATTATGAGAAGCCCTATAAAAGTAATTTGTTTTTTTTTTTTTGGAAATTTTTGAAATAATCTACTCATAGTAATCCTCAAACATTAGTTTACTATCAATATATGTATATACTAATATGTAATTGATTCAACATTTTCAATTAGTTCAAAATTTATCCTAACTGTGATAGTATTTTCATTCAAGTATTCCCCTATTAGCAAACATTCTGTTTTAAAAGCAACCAATTTTAATCTACATACATTCAACCAATTTATGATTTTTGCCAAGTCAGAATTTAGCATATTTAAAGTAGAGTCTATATTATCATCTGATATGTATTTATATGTATCTTCTGCAAATATCTGAATTTTGCAATAATCTAAAGTATCACAAATGTCATTAATGTATAAAATAAATATGTAGTAGTGAACCCAGTTTACAACTACTACTACCAGCAATTTCGATTTTTTAATACGGTCAAGTGGTCAGGGGAAACGGGGAACGCCACACGGAATCTGGCGAGGTAACACGCGTGCACACAACATGCACACATTCTGGCCACCCATACGAGATCCGCCGGGTGTTACCTCCGCGTTCCACAGTCAGAGACCGTCTACCACCTACTAGTGTTTGTACTATTGACAATACATTTCCTCCAGTCCCCTAAACCCATTTGTATTGTTGTGCCAGTTAAGTGTTCCTTCCCGCTTGAAATTTGGTTAAAATTCTATTACCCTCGATGAATTCGAAGATCTGTTGGTAAATAATGCCTTCAAATACTTTTTCAACATCTGGCAGAACATTTATTGACCGCATATTGATATACAACTCAGAATCTATTGAAACTGGAGTTATTACAGAACTCTTCAATCATACATACACGCATTCACATTTAGAATATTAGCAGGGCTAAAAGATAATTTGCTCAATTTGCAGGTATGAATTCGTGGACTTATCCCAAGAAGGAGTCCAAATGACCAGAAATCCTTGCGATAGACTTTTCAAAACCTCAAACGGCAGATTTTACTCGCCGAGAATCACATTTTTATTTGGACGAGGCGGTCAAAAAGACTTGAGTTGCACATATCAGTTTGAATCTTCGGACCAACAGAGACTGAAAATCACCTTCAATAAGGCTCAGTTCGGGTCAAAAGACTGCTATTCCACTTACGATCAAGAAGCCAATAGATGGGAATGCAATAATAGAGAAGAACGCGGTGTTGCGAATATAAAAATTTCTGAATATCCTTGGAAGGATGTTGAAATTAAGAGGCATTGTTTTTGTCATAATATCACGGAGTCTTTCACTGTGATCACGAAGACATCAAATAAGGTGATTGTGCAGTTCACAGTGACTGAAATGCGTATAACGGAGGATCACAATACGTATTTCTTCGACGCAAATTTTGAGTTTATACCAAATGAAAATAATTGTTTAAATCCTTGGAAGAATAGGAGACTGAGAGGGTCTAGCGGAGAGATTACGATAAGGAACAACGAGCATACTTTGAAGCAGAATGAAGAGAGGCACTACCATAACCAAAGTTCTAGGTAAAATATTTTTTACGTACTATAGTCTAGGATCCGTCTTAAGCTCGAGACGGGTATTACATATCTTGAAAAGTTACAAGTTGTCGTTTTTTTTACATTTCGTAGGTTTTTTGTGACATAACCTAGGATCTTTGACAAGGTGTTAACATATCACAAGCTGTTGTACACCTGTTGTGAACTCGTTTTGTAGCTGTAGGGAAGACCAGCGAGACTTGAGACAAAAAATGAATTTTATTTTTTATACATTATACAATTTGCAATTCAAAGATTACATATAGGGCAAGTGAATTGTGTGCGATTTAGCTAAACTTGCCATAACTTTTCATGCTTCCAAAATATTATTCAAATTGTTTAAACGTATTTCAAGCAAATTGTGTAAATTGTCTTAAGCCTCCCTGGGTAAGGGAGCACTGAGACATTGTAAGCTTTTGAGAACCGCTTATTAATTGTTGAAGAAATAAAAAATGAAGAACATTTATAACCCAAGAAGCTTATTAATTATTAATCAACAACGAAAGCTGTCTATTAATTATTGAATTAAAAATAATGACAATAATAAAGAAAATCAACGAATATTTTGATAATGACGGAAGTCCAGACCAAATGTCAGAGTAGATTTAACTCTTTCTGTTCCACCTACATTTTTGGGCAACGGTAATTTCAAAATTATATCTTGTTCTCGAACTGAAGAAATATCTTCCACTGGTAGATAAACAAATTTCCAGGTGGTTCCGTGACAACGTAAAAATTTTACCTCGTATTCATTATCTTTCTTTGATATTACCAGACCCACATAATGTATAGTTGAAGTCATTGTGTAAAACTTAACCAAAACGAAGTCTCCCACTTGGAGGGACTTGACATCCTCAAGAGCTTTAATCTGAAGCATTTCTCTTTCGTAGATTTCAACATCTGAAACATCTTTCCTTCATCTTTTTCCTATGGATATTCTTCAACTGTTACATCCTCCAGGTATTGCCTGCAACAACCTTGGCTCATCGAGCCTGAAGAAGACAGCAACTTCATCTACCTGAAGATCAAAGGCACCAAAAAGGATTCCTAACTGTGCGCGAGCAAGAATCGCATCCTTGTTTACCCAGCAGGTCGTACCGAAGACGCTTACGTCATTTGTCCATATTACGAAAACGTCGACGATGATTTAACTCTTTCTGTTCCACCTACATTTTTGGGAAACGGTAATTTCAAAATTATATCTTGTTCTCGAACTGAATAAATATCTTCCACTGGTAGATAAACAAATTTCCAGGTGGTTCCGTGACAACGTAAAAATTTCACCTCCTATTCATCATCTTTCTTTGATATTACCAGACCCACATAATGTATAGTTGAAGTCATTGTGTAAAACTTAACCGAAACGAAGTCTCCCACTTGGAGGGTCTTGACATCCTCAAGAGCTTTAATCTGAAGCATTTCTCTTTCGTAGATTTCAACATCTGAAACATCTTTGCTGCTACCACCCAAATCGCTTTGCTCCTCTTCATCACTTGAAGAACGCTGTGGTGGAGTTACAGGTTTCTGTAATGATTTTTGTTTGCTTGTTGAAAAAAGATCGTCATGCTTCAAGCAACAACTTTTTTTTATCTTCCGAGCAGTTGCTTCAGCCTCTATTACTTCTTTTTCTGGTGTGTCGATAACAACTCTTGAGTAACCACATTTTCGCTTTGTAATCCGTTTTCGTGGGCCTGCCTTCGGAAGCGGTCGCAAAATTTCTGGACTAACAAAATTTTGTTTAGTGTTTAAATCGTGATCATGCACGTGGGCTTTTGACATTGAGGCGTCGACTTGAATATTTGTGTGTTTCGGAAATTCTTCTTGCACGCTGGATGCTGCATCTTCTAAAATTGTACTTGATGTTTCCAGTGGTCGATCGCTTACTGCGCTAGACATAACAGCAATTTCAGTAAACACATCACGATTTAACGGATATACATGTATGTCGGTCGATGAAAAACCGGATAAAAAATTCTGTGGTGTCAAAGCTAATTCGAACGCTTGACTAGCTAAGGCGGCGATATTGTAAATGGACAAGGTTTGGCCTGGATTGGAAACCATCCATGATGCACACTGCGAATTACAGTAATTTTTGAAGGGTAAGCAAATCGATACGTCCAAGGGCTGCATTTTATGGCTGCATTGTGGTGAAAACGTGAGCATCACAATTTCATTTTATTTTGCTTTCCTCAGGGAATCAACGGAAATATGGCTCTCATGGTTATCCATTAGTAGCAATACTTTGTTTTCCATCGAAGAACCACTATGCTTTATGAAGTGGTCCAGGAAAACAACAAAGTTTTCGGAAGACATCCATCCACTGGAATTAGCAACTCCAACACTTCCTGGAAAAGCGCCACTTAACATATAGTCCTTAAAATGTACTCTTGGAAAGACGAAAAACGGCGGGATGAATCTCCCTCCAGCACTAAGACCACAATAGGAAGTTACTAATGTGCCACGTTCAGCAGACGCGCGTGATGTTCCTAACTTGTTTAACGCCCTTCGCTACCAGGACTTTGGGTGGTTTGTGTACAGTTCTAGCCCTGACTCATCAATGTTCCAGATCTGATGAGCTTCAAACTTTTCGCGCTTTAGGACCGATTTCAAATTGTTAAAACGTGGTAACATTTGTGCGGTTAAAACTCGTACATCGTGACAAGCTGGTTGACTGGTTGACTCTAGAGTCCTCAGCGATAACTCGGGGTGACGATGTCTAAAACCTCTATACCAATCGTAGCCAGCAATTGATTTTTCATTCCATTTTCTAGGATATTTTTTATGGTTGGCCTTAGCAAATTGAAAGGCTAGTTGGCGAGTAAACGTGGAACTACCTAGTCTGCAAGATGACATTTCGTCGATTTTTTGACGTTTTTTAGCTTTTTATATAAAGCGGAGTTTCAAGGAATGAAGAGCTGATGAGACCGTCAGGGACATTATGTAAAAAGTCTAAAAAACGACAAAAAAAAAACCACGAAAAGCCATCTTGCAGACTAGGTAGTTTTAGTGTGCAAATAGTTTATTCCACGTTTAAGCAACACGTACAGCTACAAAACGAGTTATCAACAAGACAAGTGTATAACAGCTAGTTGTAAGTTAACATCTTGTTGGAAAACCTACGTCACGACACAAAAACCCTACGAAATGTCAACAAAAAACCGACGAAGTAACAATTTTCAAGATACGTGCCGGGGTGCGTCTTAGGGTAGGGATCCGGCTTAAGGCATTTTACTATTTGAAAAAATCAGATTGATACACTCCTTGAACTCCGTGGATTTTAAGATACCTGCTTTTCCTATGGATATTCTTCAACTGTTACATCCTCCAGGTATTGCCTGCAACAACCTTGGCTCATCGAGCCTGAAGAAGACAGCAACTTCATCTACCTGAAGATCAAAGGCACCAAAAAGGATTCCCGACTGTGCGCGAGCAAGAATCGCATCCTTGTTTACCCAGCAGGTCGTACCGAAGACGCTTACGTCATTTGTCCACATTACGAAAACGTCGACGATGTGGTGGAGATGTTTTCGGATGGATGGAGTTTGTACAGCTACAGGAAGTTGCAGAGCAAGAACTCCAGGAGTTTCATCATCGAGTTCTCGAGGAGGGAGATGGGGAATTTCGTGGTAACGTGGATGGAGGTGTCCAAGAATCCCGCTTTGGCGTTGCCTACGTCGTTGTTGATGATTGCGCCGCCCGATTGTCCACATAGGTAAAAGATTTAATAATTTTTCTATTGTTACTTCCTATGCCAAAACTGATGAGGAAGTATACATAGTAATTGCGAAATTGAGATATTTTGTTTTTGTCTGTCGTTCTGTCCGCACCGCCTATAATTATACCGCTCGGATTTTGATGGTTACTACTATGCCAAGGATGGCAATGTTTTGAAAATCGCTCTAGCGGTGTCGGAGCTAGGGGCAAAAACACGACAAAAATTAAAATCGCTTAAACTTCGTTTTTTGACATTTCAGAGGCTCCTGATCATTTTTTGAAATTGTTTTGTAGCGTTTGAATCTTGAGGGTTGGCGTTGCGTGCATGGCGCGATGCTGCATCGTCGTGGAGGCCACTGTCGACTGTGTAATGGGTAACAAACTCCAACTGGTCTGCGGTGGTGTCGTCACACCTAATTTCACTTAGTCTGCCATGGAAACAGAAATAGATAGATTTGATTCATATAGTATGATATGCAGAGGTCGAAGTTTCTGAATGAACCTACCTAATCACCATTCGATTTCGCCTTTTAAAACGATTTCTTTATAACCTCCTACGACTTGACCCCATTTTTTTGTATGCCGCCGAGGGCATTTAATTACTATAAATCAAGGCAACAAATATTTTTGGGCGAATAGAGAAAAATAAAGAAAACAAGTTATTTCAAAGTTCATTATTGCTATATTTGAGGACAAAATCGGTACAAATTAATAGAAAAACAGAAAAAATCACGATTTAATCGAAAAAATCTGAATTTTCAATTTTAAAAAAATCGCATTTTTGCAACACTGGCTTGTTTGAAAAAATTTAATATATAATAAATATATTTTTTACTTTTATTTTGCCAACTAGAGTTCCCAACTAGCAAATATATTCTATAGTTTTGGACTGTCCATGCTATTTTATTTTATAATTGCTTTATAAGTGCTCTTAGAATGCAATTTTGTTTTAATATAATTGCTAGTAAGACAATTAAGCTTTTAAAAAGCATTTTGCCTTATAAGGTAGTCGTAAAAATGCTCTTAGAGTAAAAATACAAAACAGTTTTAGGATAAACTGTTTTATAAACGTTTATACAACAATCTTATAAGACGATTGAAATTACCGAACAAATTTGTTTTATAACAGATTTATCCTGGTATTATCCGATACGAGCTTATTCGTTTGCGAACATCAATAAAGTTGTTTTATTAGCGCCCCGTGGAACAATTATAAAATTAATTTATTAATATTTTCTCTCGACTTCCCAACTAGAAAAGTTATTTTATAATTTTCGTCTATTTGGGGTCAGTTAAATTAAAAGAAGAATATGGATTTCAATGCTTAACCGTACCCCGTTTTGATATTGGATAAACGTAAAGATGTTCCAGAATTATCCGGAAAAATATTCATTTTTGCAAATGTATTTATAAATGCCTTTGTATAATCACAAACATCTTTTGCTTTATGATAATTATGTAATAATTCTTTAAGATTCCTGAGTGCAATATGCTTTAGTGAATGATAATATCAGAAAGAAAATATCAATAAATAAATTTTATAAATGTTTCACATAGCGCTAATAAAATAATTTTAGTGATGTTCGTTAACGAATAAACTCTTATCATATAATTTATATAAGTCTATTATAAAACAAGTAGGTTCAGTAAGCCTAAATGTCGTATCAAATTGTTGTGTAAACATTAATAAAACAATTTTAAAATATGTCGTAAAATTGTTTTGTATTTGTGCTCTAAAAACGTTCTTACGACTAGCTTAGAAAGCAGAACATTTCTTAAAAGCTCAATTTCTTACTGAAATTTTTATTAAAACAATATTACTGTAGCGTTTTTCTGGGTTCTTTTGAGTGTGGATTGAAATACTGGATTCCAAAAAAAGAAATGCACTAATTTATTTAACTTGATAGAACATTTATGTACATCACTATTTATGTCTGACTAATTCTTATGTCGCCATTGACTACACTATACTCCACTCGGCTCTGCTACTTTACCGTACTCAGTACTCTGCTTCCATCTCCCGGCCGCCGAGTTATATAGTCCGCATTGTTGAGTCTAGAAGAATCGGGAGCCACATAGCGGCTTTCCCGAATACTCGAGGTTGCTTCGCGTCGATCTAGAAGGCGATCCGCTGTGACGGTCGCCGCAGACGCCGCCAAGCGGCTTGTGTGATCGTGGTTCGCGCAAGATAATAAAACAACTTTTATAAAATTGTGTTATTCTAGTTTACAATAAAACTATTTTATAGTTGTTGCGGACTCTGTTCTATATTAATTTCAAAAACGTTTAAACAATTGTCCAGTAAAAGCTGTGGAAGTCATAATAAAACAAATTGAGTGACAAAATTGCTGAACAAGAGTGCTCCTTTTTTGAGTTTATAAGCGTTTTATAAACGATACTAGAATAGCGGCGGTGTTTCTATAAAGATAGTTCTGTAAACACTGAGAGACCATTTATAAAACATGAAATTGTTAGTTGGGTTGTCATTGAAATAACACAATGAGTAGCATACTGTATGTTTAATAAAGAACTACTTTTTTCAGCTGTCCCGAACTAGGCGCCTGCATCAGTTCCGAACTGTGGTGCGACGGTCTACGCCACTGTCCTTCAGGCAACGACGAGCAAGAATCTAACTGTTCCATCCACGGCCTTGGAATATCAGCGGCCTACTTGAATCAAGCCGCGCTGTCAGCTGTCGGTTTGACAGCTGTTGTTGTGATCGCGATCGCCTCCTTCTACGTCATCAAACACTGGAGGCACGAACAAAAGAACGTCATCGTTTCAGTCACGGAACACACGTTTTTGGAGTTTAAGAGCGGTTTGTGTTGAAGAAGGCTAATCCGTGAATAAGTATACGGTGTGACATAGGTGGAGTTTGATTTTGAAATGTAAGAATATGAGGCAGGATTCATCAAAAAGTTCAGACATTGGTCGCTCTTAGGACATCAATTTTCTGATTATAAAAGTTTAGAAACACTAATTCTATCCCACTTCTGATGTATAGTGTTATATACAGATGAATCGATTTTCACCAAAGATAGGTAGAAACCATCAGCACAGGCAAGACTTTCGATAAAAGAAACTACAATTGGTTCATCTGCAGATAGCACACAGACAAAAATAGTAATCAAGCTGGTACTTTTCCAGATCTAAAAGCGATCAACTTCAAAGAAAAGTTCATAGGAGCATTTTTTTAAATGAACCAAAAGCTCTAAGGAATGTTGCCCGGAGACAAAAAATCATTTTTGGGTATTTGTTTTTAAAAATTGTATAAACAATTTTGACGCAGTTTTGAGCCTAGCAACATGCAAATTGAACAAAACCATTACAGAAAACTGAATTAGAATATTTTTCCGAGTATGTGTGTATATGTAGGGTATTGTCGGGAACAGTGGCTCAGTCGGGTACAGTGGCTCCATTCAATATCTCCAAAACGAGAGAGACTATCTATCTGTCGCAGTCATCTACATCAAGTGTTTACGACACAAATGCGCATGAACCAGTCGGTCAGCAACTAAAGCACTGATAGCACGCGTCTCGCCTTTGTGTTGGTTTTCAGGTACCCAAAATGACATTTCCAGGTAAGTTTGACTTTAAAATTCTAGCTTAATTGCTGTAGTTTATTATTTATTTATATTTTGTAGTAAAGTAAGTAGAAGCAAGATAATTTTAACTTTGCTTAGAACAGCCAGTGCAACGTGAATATGGCACAGAAGACATATATTTCAAAATGGCGTCACGGTCGACAGTGGCTCAGCACGTGGAAGTACACAGTGGTTCACGAGCCACTGTGTACTATTAGTGAACCATTGTGTACCGCTTACTTGAATATTTGTTTCAGAATGCCTCGCAAGAAACGGGCAATGAGAAATATTGGCAACAGCTCCGCTGCAGACGTTAAAGCTGGGGTACTATTAATAAGGCAGGGTATGTCTATCAGAAAAGCAGCTACGAGTTGTGGTGTGCCATTTACTACCCTGAAGAGGTATTATTGGAAAACTGCTGGTTCTGAAAATCTCGATGAGGAGCGATTCGAGCCGAATTATTCTGTGAACCAGATCTTTACCGCATCCCAAGAAGAGAAGTTGAAGGAATATTTTTCGCATTGCGCTCTGTTTTACGGATTAACTGCAAGAGAATGTCGTCAAGTGGCGTATCAATGTGCTAAGCTAAATAATATAAAGATGCCTAAATCTTGGACAGACAATGAAATGGCGGGTCAGGACTGGTTTACTTTGTTCAAACGTAGGAACAGGTTTTCTTCCAGGAGACCAGAACCTTGTAGCCTAGCAAGAGCTACAGCCTTCAACCGAAACAACGTCAATAATTTTTACAATAATTTAGAAGATCTGATCAAGAGAAACTCGGCTTTTGCAAATGGTACCCGTATATTTAATCTGGATGAAACATCAACGACAACAGTGCAAAAGCCTCAAAAAGTAATAGCACCATTAGGCAGAAAATGCATTGGAAAAGTCACAAGTGGTGAGAGAGGAACTTTGGTAACCACATGCTGCATTGTAAGTGCCAGCGGCAACGCTTTGCCACCAGTTATGATATTTCCTAGGAAAAAATTCAAAGATCATATGATCAAAAACACACCTGCAGGAACACTCGGCTTAGCAACGCCTAGTGGATGGATGAACGCGGATAGTTTCACAGAAGTAATGAAACATTTTATCAAGCATACGAACTCTTGCAAAGAAAATCCTAGTATGTTGGTAATGGATAACCACGAGTCACATTTGAGCATTGAAGCCATACAGTTGGCAAAAGATTGTGGAGTCAATCTCCTCACTATTCATCCCCACACTTCGGGGAAATTACAACCACTTGACGTGGGAGTATTTAGCGCGTTCAAAGTATATTATAATGCTGGCATCGATTCCTGGCTTATGACACATCCTGGAAAGCCTGTTACCATATATGACTTAGGTGAAATCATTGGGGCAGCCTTTCTTAAAGCAATGACCCCAACAAACATTACCAGGGCTTTTGCAAAATGTGGTATTTACCCATTCGACAGAAACCTTTTTACAGACGAGGACTTTCTGCCAAGTACAGTAACAGATCGTCCAGGTCCCTGTTCAGACTGTTTGCCACGTGAAGAAGGGCTCATAAACGTAAACATCAATTCAATGAATGTCATCGAGTTGGGAGCACCGGAAGAGACCACTACTGCGCACTCATCGGAGCATTCTATTTCACAGACTTGTGCAACATCAGAAAAACCATGCTCACCAACGTTGGGTACTTCGACGACACAACCAAGTCAAATTGAAACCACTGTTGTGTCTATCAACCATCAATCCATTTCTAAAGAAGTGGAAACGAAGAACCTGTCCGATGAAGATTCAATTTTGACAAAAACAAAAGTATCCAATACCGTTTCAGTTCCATCAGGACTCCAGTCATTAAAAATATTAGTTCCTGAAGTGCTCATATCAGCAATTTCTTCGAACAAACTTCCACCCAAGCCATATATAATTACCCCGACACAAGACGTTGCTTTGACACCATCCATTTCTCAATCAGCTGAGAATACTTTTACATCTCCGTTTGAGTTTAGAGACCCAATAAAGGCTGGACCTAGAACTACTACCCGCAAGCGAAGGAAACCAGGCCGTAGCATGATTCTTACTGACACACCGGAAAAAGTTCGTCTAGAACAAGAAAAAATAGCTGCTAAAAGTAAAAACACTAATAAGAAGGGAAAAGTCACTCAAAAAGTATTACAAAGTGATGAAGAAGATAATGATCAAGAGAAGGAAACAGTGGAATCTGCTGAATCTGATGATGATACAGACTGGGCAGCAGAAGATGAAGACGAAAACTCTGACGAAGAATCAGTGATTATAACTGAAAGGCACCTAACCAAATCTCTAACTCGTGCGCCACTAGAGGGCGAATATGTGATTGTACAATTTACAACAAAAAAACTTACATCGCTTTACGTTGGAAAGGTGATAGAAGGTAGAAATGAGAATAATGAATTCTACATATCATTTCTGAGGCGTACGCCTGGTACTAGCAAATTTCACATGCCTGATAAGCCTGACCTTTCTGTTATAAAAGAAAGTGATTTGAAATTACTTCTGCCAAAGCCTTCAATTGTTGGCACTTCTTCTAGGCCGTACTATAATTTTGGACTAGATTTATCCCAACTTCGGATATGCTAAGAGGTATAAGGGTTATGGAGTTATTAATTTTTATTTTTGACTTGTTCTACAAACTTTCATCATTCGATGAACTTAAGGAGTAAGATTGGTTTTTGTCTCTGATTGTAATAAAAGTTTTTGTTAACATTATAAGTACAAAAGAATACTTACAAAGTAATGTGTACATTTGTAAGTTAAGTAGAAGACTTAATTTTATTTGCTTGCTGATTATTATTATTGTTATTATTTATGCTTACGATGAGACTTATTAAAGTAGAAGTTCTTCAGTGTTTTGTAAGGCAAATAGGAGTCTGATGTATGTGTGATTTTGATTATTTCAATGTTAACAGCTACGATGCGCTCATTTTGTTTTTTAATATAGTAATGGGAATAAGTTTATTTTGATCAGTGTTTTTTCCGAGATATTCAAATGTGACTCAGAAATAAAGATTTCAACAGCATTCCCGTACTTTTGATTAACTCGGTTTGTCTTGAGTCTCTGTGTACTGTTAGAACCACTGTGGACCACTGGGGTGTGTCACTGTAGCACCCTACCTGTGCACAGTGGCTCATTTCTAATTTTTTACAAAATCATTATTGGTTGTTTTTTGGCACCCTTTGTGGACATTTCGATGGCACAGGATAAAAATTTCATAACCTCTGCCCACATTGGCCGAGTTTCAAGCCATTTGGTGAAGACTCGATGAATATTAGAGTCAACTGAAAAAAAGTGAGCCACTGTTCCCGACAATACCCTACATAACTTTTTCCGATGTTTATGTACTGAATCTGCCTTTAAAAACTTCCTAAAAACATTCTACACGCGCATATTGGCAAAAAAACTACCGAGGATTTGTTGTTTGAAACACATTCTCAAACTCTACCTATTTTCAAAGATATCGGGATAGTGATAATCCCCAAACCTAAATTTATGTTGACCTAGGAAATTTGTGACATTTGCATTAGATTCAGTGAGTAATAAGGTGTGAAATGGGATTTGACAAGAGAATGTAATTATAACAATGTATCATGTGTCGTACTACCAAGGTCCCACACTACTTACTACTCAAATAATGCAAGGTAAGGTTGTAATAAATGCAATAAGGATATACGTAATCCCCCATATTTGTCTGGTCGAATCAAACCATATATGTTTAAAATTCCTCTTTATTATACGACATTTAGATCCCAATGATGGCCCTTAGGTGTGATGGCGGTCTTTAGATGTCAAAGTACTATTTCTCGCATTTGAGATCCATAAACAATGCCCATGCAGCATTTTAGTCGAAGATTGCACGGTGGTACCGCCCATGAGACGGTGTGATGCAACTTGAAAGCTACTGAAGATACCTTTCCAATCCAGTTTGAGAGAATAATGGAACAGTAACGTGGGTCGAATTGAATTTGCCTCTAACAGCCGATCCTGAAAGTTGGATGGCACCTGATGCTGTAGACTCATTTGTTCAGTCGGCTCCACGGAATGGGGGAGATGCGGGTTCGAATCTTGTCGGCGCCCATTTTTCCTTCCTCTCAAGTTTTTACTAACTAAAAATACTCGCTGTTGCCTGTGCTCTCATCCGAAACATCGTGTACAGGTTAGTGTCCTCGCACTGTGGCACCGTGGTGTGTAAGCACAAGACGGCGTGGTGCAACTAGAAACCGATTGTAGATACCCAAACGTCGTATAATAAAGAGGAGTCTTTAACGTACGCTGCTAGATTCATCCGGCAAAATATTGGGGATTATCACATCAAAATCACAGGATACGTTTCAGATGTGACATTGAGGATATACGTAATATCATTTCATTTTCGTCTTTCAGTCTAAAAGACTGATCTATCCGCTGTTCCTTTTTTGTTGCTCAAGCTGAACTTTGTAGAGCTGTGTCTGTAGCTATCGAAAACTTTGTGAAATTAAGATTTTCGTTGTCTATATTTTTTGTATAAACAAATTAAGCATTTAATGTACATATAAAAAATTCGATCTTCTATATACATAGTCGTTAAATGTGCAAAATAGATGTAGAATAACTATTAATGGAATGGTCTGGAATTTGCTAAGATATTTTAAATTTCCTCTTAGACGATCTTATATGACTTTGTTTCGAAAAATACACTAAGTGACATAGAAAAAAGTACACCTAGAATTACTACGAATTTATTACAAAGACTAGGTCTATGTCCCTAAATCTTGATCTAATATGAGAATTAAGAACCCATCTTAAAACAAATCGTATAATTTTTCTCTAGCTAGAGAGACGTGTTACAACAAATCGATAAAATTCAATAAACCCACTATTTTAAAAAGGCGCAAATTTTGATTTACGCGGGTCAATAGTAACATCTGGCCTTCGAGATATTCATATCGAGGATTTGTACAGGATCATCTAGGATTATGTTTGAAAATTCCCGATATAAACACAGGATCATCCCAACAGTACGAGCCAATCCTCCAAATAAATGGGATTGGATTAGGATTTGGATTTAGCTTCATGGATATAAACAATAAAGTGTTTCAGATTAAAATCTGAATTCAGAAATGTTCTGGGCCACTGCTCAGCAAAGCAAATGTCACTTGTCATCTTATTTTTTTCACACCGAAACAACCGTCAAGGCAGAAGCTTAAGTGCCAGGACACCGCGGCTGCTATGAAGAGCTTAAAGAAACTTTGGTAATCCGATTTTTGAACTGCCTAAGGTTAGTAGAACTGAGAAAAGCCTCATGTAGATTGCTTCACAATCTCAATACCCTAGGAACAAAGAAGTGGTCGTATCGGTCAGTTCTAGATGTACGAAGTGCGACACGGTAAGGAAGTTAGGCGGGTCTGTCTGGGAGGCACCTCACGCGGCGGCAGCATGGACGAGAGCTGTGAGGAGCAAATCCCGTTGGCGGTGCGGTAGAAGAGATCTAGATCGCCGACGGCACACCGGTGCGAAAGAGCACAAGACTGTCCGTTAGAGAAGAGCCATCAATCAGTCGAACAGCCCTCATCTGAACAGCATCGAGCATTGTAATCGGGGCGGCCACACCCCAAACATATGAGCAGTACTCGAGGCTAGGTCTTATTTGGGCCATGTACAGAGTGAACAGCTCAAATGGAGAAAAGTACTTATTAGTCCTAAACAAATAGCCAAGCCAAATCAAGTCCTGGGTGATCTGGACCCCGACCAGCCGAAATGAACAGCTCCTTGATAGAACTCGGCCATCCAACGAAACTGGATGAGCACTAGGGCGCTTCTTGTTCGTCAACGTATAATACTGTGTTCTGTAAGCATCAAACTGTACCAGATTGTTAAATCCCCAAGCAATGATAACCTTCTGGTCTCCCGTCATAAAATTTGCTGCTAGTATTCTTTTCTCCAGCTCACCAGCAGAGATCGGCTTGTCACTCTGAATTCTTGCACGTAGTGTGCTCTGTAGTCAGCAAAGCTGTGGATTGGGTTGATCGTAGAGGTGAGAAAAGTCGTAGATATGTAAAATGGGCCGTTCAAGTATTACGTGAGCACTATGGAGGGGGCGGTGGGTTCTTTGCTTTGCTTATTTTGGATGACATGGGGGGTAGGGGAGTCTAGATGATGATTACGTCATCGGTAGTTATTTACTTTTTTACACGAATGACAACCCTCACATTGTCTTTGCTTGAAAACGAAACGCATTTTCGGGGATTCCCGCAAATAATGCATACGTTTAGTGAACACGCGCGGTAATTCCCCTACTCGCTTTAGAACCGAGTAGGGGAAATACCGCGCGGTGTTCACTTGTTTAAATTTCCTCTATTAGTGTATTGTTTCGTTTGGATACTATAGCGAGTAGACGTATTGTAAGCATAGTAAAGCAAGTTAACATTTGTGTTACCATTGATTCCATTAGCCAAAGTTTAATGTTTAAATAAGATGTCGTTTCACACAGACAAATCCAAGTTATACCAAAAATTGTTTGAAAGTTTTAAAAAATCTCATACAAGTACGAAAGTACAAAATGTACAAAAGTTAGTTAACGAAGTGTGGCTAAATTACAAATTACAAGCAAAATCCGACAAGGAACTAGATATTATTGTATCTAAGAGAATCGAAGAAGAATTGCAAGCGGCGACTAAGAATAAATCCAATCTACTAAATTTTTTTTCTAAGGTGAGTGACGAAATCATTTTAGGTACCTATGAGTACTAGAAATATTAGAAATCGCCAAAAAGTTTCTCTTTACTGATTAGAAAATATTATGGCCTATCTCAAAGTATAGAGGTAATATTCATTATATATTATAGATTTATTTCTTATGATTGATTCCGTCAATTGGTCACAAAGTGCAGGATGTTAGTTTTATACATATATACAGAAAACTAACACCCTGTATTTTGTGACCGGAACGAACTGCTCGTTTAAACATATTAGATTTAAAGCCATAGGGTTTTGTATTTACCATATATATTGCCACACATTTATGTAGCTTAATAAGAGAATCTTTAGCAGAAGTCATAGAAAGTTTTTATTTTTAGGCAACCTGTAAACCTGCAGAAAAAACACAAATTATACAGTCAGCTTCAAATTTTAAAAAAGAGGAAGAAGATAAAATAAAACCCTGTAATGAAGCACAACAGCAATGCGAAATTAATGAAAATACAGATAAACAGAGAGCAAAACCTTCTCAGGAAGCTATGAAAAATAAGATTGCTCTACTCCAAAAAAATCTGCATGCTTTGTATTCTGCCAGAGATACTATGCCAAGCCGTGCTAAAGTTGATAAACAGATCATTAAGTTGCGCGAGGAAATAAAAACAGCAAAACAGTCTTTAAACAGGAAGGTTCAAAGCGCAGTTGAAGCACAAGGATGGTATGAAAAGAAAGTTAGAAGATATTTTTATTTGTCATGAAAATCCAGTAATAAAAAACAAGACTATCTCTGAGAGATTCAGTGGGACGTCCTAATATTGAAAGCAATCAACATTCACTATTAAAAAGAATCGCGTATATAGCTTTATTTGGGAGTGCAGCAGATGATAGAAGACGAACGGAATCAATTCGCAGCCTAAAAACTCACACAAGAATTACGTAAAATAGGATTTGACATTAGTCGCAGTGGGACATATCTTCGTTTGATTCCCAGAAAATCTAATTCTGCAGAGGGACGAAGACATGTATCGACAGTCCCTGTTAAGCTCATTCGAGCTCAAACTGATCACCACAAGAGCCACTTAGATAGCAAGTTCGCTGAAACATCAATCCATTATTTAGAGAACATAGCATCCATACTTGGACCAGATCGTGTATTTTTCATATCTCAAGATGATAAAGCTCGAGTCCCTATTGGCGTAACTGCGGCAAATAAGCAACCACCTCTTCTAATGCACATGGAATATAGAATCAAATTGCCTGATCACGATTGGGTAATCGCTGAGCGTCATAAATTAATACCATCTGTTTATGCTGGTATCAAAATCACTTCTAATATGCTAGGACAACCGCAAGCAGTTGGATATTCTGGACCAACATATATCGCTATTCGAAGTGGAAAGCATAGTTCATCTACTGCTAATACTCATGCTCAGTATTTCGAGACGCTTCTCGAACTTGAAGAGTTTCGACCATTAGCTAAAACTGACCGTGGACTAGTAAAACCAGTGGTAATTATGACGGTTGATGGAGGGCCAGATGAAAATTCACGTTATCAAAAGGTCATAGGGTTTGCTATACAACACTTTAAGCGACATGATCTCGATGCATTGTTTTTAGCTACCAATGCTCCTGGAAGAAGTGCGTATAACAGAGTAAAGCGCAGAATGGCTCCTCTTAGCCGGGAACTGGCTGGTTTAATATTGTCTCACGACCATTTTGGGTATCATTTGGATGAACGTGGCGTTACAATTGATGAACATTTAGAAAGATCTAATTTCGAATTTGCAGGAAATGTATTACCTAGCTGAAGTGTGGACTTCAATGGAAATTGATGGCTATAATGTTAATGCAAAATATGTTGGGGCAGGTGAACAAGATCTTCCTGATTTCCCAGACATTAAATGGTATTCAGAACATGTGCGTGAGAGCCAATACTTGCTTCAAATTGTAAAATGTAGAAATACAGAATGCTGTCGTCCAAGAAGTGGCCTATTTAGATTACTAGACAATAGGTTTCTTCCACCATCTGTAAAAGTAAAACAAACAGTTGATGACTTGGTTTTGGATGAAGGAGGGCTATTTCTTAATCTTCCAGTCATATTAGGTCTACGCTTAAGTGCTTCACTCAAAGATTTCCTGCAAATGCCCTACGATTATTTTTGTCCGACGGTAAAATTGAGGCTATCATCCAAAACGTGTGGTCTTTATCATGCTTCCGTCAAGTCACTAAATCGTCACATCCAAAATATCCATAAAAAAGTAAACACGCACACTGATAGGAAATTAGACCTGTAAGAGTCGCTGCTCGTCGTGCTAATGAACTGATGTGTATTATTCAAAATTTAGAGCACCATGATGTTGAATGGCTCGATGAGAACGACGTAGACATTCCAAAATCCGGTGAAAGCGAGCAAACTCACAACACTGAGCAGCAATCGAAGCAATCCAATGTCATCGAAAAGTTAGAATCATGGATTCGGGTTTCATGGACTGAAGACTGTTAATTTGAATTTAATATATGTACCAAAAATTTAAAATAAGTTTGTTATGTTAGTAAGATATAATATTTTTGTCCTTTACTCTATCTTGAATACCGTATCAGTAAAATATAATCTCTATCCTGTTTTCCTATTTTTCAAATTATAATTATAACGTTATAATTATAATATTAAAAAAAAACAATACATTAATTGACAAATGTTTACATAAGCATGGGAGGGGGGGGTAAGAGCTTTGCTTACATTTGTGACCAGGGGGATGGGGGTAAATAATTGTAATAAATCTGCTTACGTAATACTTAAACGGCCCCAAAGGGACAATGTCAGAGCCAAGGAACACCTTCGTTGACGTTGTGGGATGAAGAGGGGAACTCGTTAATTACGACGGATGTCTTGCGCCCACAGAAGAAGTCAGCCACCCATCGGCAAAGCTTTTCTTGGAGAACATAGGCTGGAAGTTTGCATAAGAGGGCAGCATGTATCAGTTCAACGAATGCGTTCGTGGTATCAAAAGCAACGACAGGAGCCTCACCATAAGACTGGATGAGTTTACTCCACAGTTGCGTGACGTAATAGCCTAATGTCAGTAGAGCTATAGGCATGTAGTTGTAAGGATCGGTCTTAGATCCTTTTTATTACGGGTTGGTCATGAGGAAATTTCCAGGTTACTGGAAAAGTGCCGCAGTCGTAAGGTGTTTGGAAGAGACGCGAAAGAACTGAAATAAGCTCCACTGCACATCTCTTCAATACAACGTAAGGAATCAAGTCCGTCCGGACCAGTAGCTTTGTTGATGCCTAGCGAGAAGAGCACCCGTCTTAGGGTCTTAGTAGTAGGTGTAGAGACGCGTTGGATCGACGGCTCCCGGACGTCCATGGTGGAATTGACAGCAAATATCTTTGCAAGCATTTTGGTCTGTCAAGTACTGAAAGTAGATGATCCTAGACCCGGTCCGGCACGATATACCTAAACGCCTATTCATAAAGATTATCCAAATTCTGAATAAATCTTAACCGCATTGAACGTATCGTAATTATGAAACCTGTTTCTGAGGGCAGTCCCAACAAATTATTAATTACTTACATTTTCTTCAAGACTCGGATTTTTCTGAAATTTTGGTCAATTACCTAACGATAAGAGACTTGCATACAAAAAATTGTAGTGATAAATTCATTATTACTGGGTGTTGTTCTTTTTTCTATACCGTTTAGTATAGTTCGCTTCAAGAAAAATAACACATTTATAGGCAAAACATCAAAATTAAGAACCAAATAATTCTTTAATATCAGTTTTAACTTAGCTGAATTCAAGACCACACCAAAAATTAAG